TTTTTTCATCCGTTAAGGTATTCAAAGTCGGCGGTGTTTATTCACCTGCAGATTTAGTTCACTTAAACAAATCGCCATAGTAAAGGATTTTCAATAATACAGGAGCATGTACCTTATACATAGACATTCTACACTATGAAGTGGCAAGTCTGAAAATGCCGTAGATTTCGAGAAATCAATCTCATTGTGCGAATAGCCAGCGGCGCAGTTTACAACGTTGATCTTAGAATTTGAAGTTGGCGGTAAAAGCGAAACGATGAAGGGCAAAACAAGAGGTATCCTGCTTGACACATTACGATAAAAATGCATATTGCCGAGAATGAGAAGCCAGTACTATGGGTCTGGTGAAGCACTAAAGAAGGCGTAATCCAGCCGGTCAATTTGACCTAAAACACAAAACCACCCAAAACGACTTCGTGAACTTTGACTATTGGACTTTTGACAAAGGCCACGAAAAGTGTACGTGGGGTGATGAAATAGAACGATTAGTAATGTGGGCGATTGGTAGCAAAAATCTCAGATTTATGGTGTACGATGAAGCTGTAGCGACTATGTTCGCGGTTGTAGTGGAGTGAGTGGGAAAGATTGGTAGCAAAAATCTCAGATTTATGGTGTACGATGAAGCTGTAGCGACTATGTTCGCGGTTGTAGTGGAGTCGAGTGTGAAATTTCCTTGGGAGAGTAAGCTAACAAAAACGGCCGAAAAACCGAGATGTATATAAAATTTTTCACTTGATCTGGAGAACGGACCGATTGCTCACCGAAAAGGTCAAATCCATACGATAGGTTCAACAGATGAGGATGATTGCGTCCTTGAGACGGCTGAGGCCAGCTGTAGAGATTTTTCATGTTTTCAGTTATTCGATCTAGCAGGAGAGAAGGCATGGTAGAGAGTAGGGAGTAAAAAGTTGCACGTGTGCCATCAAACTGAAAGGGGAAGTGCCGTTATATTTCTTGCTTGGCATACTTCGGTTATTGGACAGCTCCGTAACGAACGTCATATTCAAGGTCATTGGGCTGGAAGGTGCAATTCTGTGGAGAGCGGGACTTTTTCACGTTCGCTAAAGGAATACGTGGTAGTCGGTGTAATATCACATATATTTCTTTCTGTCTGATTGCGGATTTCTGTGGATTCAGATCACAGGCTAGATGGAGTGGATAATTGCCAACTAGCTTCTCCAGACCAGGTGCTACTGAATTTCAAAACTTGGAAATACGCGTGAATGGGGTGAGATAAGTAGAGCAATCAGACATCAGATATAATGCACACAAGTGCATTACCATTTACCGCAATTCGGGTGGTGAAAGCAAGTGATTAAGTGAAACAAGATAAGCGTGGATTTGTGTTTTTTAGACCAGAGGTCGAGCTAGTCTGGGTTTGCTAATATATGATATTGAACTGCAGGAGATCCGGTGTAAGCACGCAGAGAAGCGGTGTGGTTAGGAAAACCAAACGTGTAGGGACTGATAAAAGTGGACTTTCGAGATGATGTACCAGTTTATTCGGAATTCATTAAGTGGGGTTTACCGTACCACAACCTAGGAGAGAATGAGAATGTAAGAGAAATGGTCAACAATCCCCGAAACACTGCTATCAGCTTCAGTTGACAAGTGGTGCATGGCAGTAAAAAGTACTTGGGCCCAGACTTGTATGCTCGTAGTGTGGGGTTAGGAATCTCGTATATATATAAATATATAACAAGTTTATTTCCCAACGTGTAAAGGATATGCGATTAAAACACAATCGGGTCGTCACAGCCCCTGAACGCGGCAGGCAAATTCACAGTCGGGAGGAAGTTACAACAAACGAGAATTGCTTATTACGTGAAAAGCTACCGCGGTTGCAGGAACCGAAAAAAGCTAGGACGGCAGGCATGAGGTACGACTAGTTCAAAGATGATGCCAGATGACAGGAACTAAACAAGCATTCAGGAAAAATAGATAATTTACATTTTATGCCTATGTGATCGCTTCAGAGAACAAGAGACAAGAACACGTGTTGCGTCTGGATGATGAAGTGGATTGGGGCGGTGCCAACACAACTAAAACCAAGGTGGTAACTCATAAACTTCTTTCGTTAATGTAGCCGCCACCTAAGTAGGACTTTTGCACATTCCAACCGGAGCGAGGACAACCAACCATAATTTTGTCATTCTCATCAAATTACCTGGCTTGATATGGTTCAGGGGCATTCGCGGTAGGATGAATCTAGGTCACATTAGATCACACGAAATGGCTCACACACGCGGAGCTTCCGAAACTAATTAATCTCCTCGCACTCATCGTTCGGGTGATCCCTAGATTGGTTTTCACCCTAACAGGGTCTTTGACCGATCATACTTCCAGACAGAACGCCGGTAATTGTACGCAGATTTTGCGATTGACCAGTTAAAATGTACCGTGTTGCGTGAATTCCGCGACCCGGTCCGATATCTTGTTCAACGCCTTCCAGTAAGATCACCAGAAGGCTGCAGCCAAAGGACCATCTGCCCTCAACATGCATTGGTCAGCTCTTCAAGCGCCCTTATTTGTCGACATTCACTTACCGGCGTCACCGCTGCTAGCCTTTCAGTCGTCACGCGAACACCGCCCTGTGCACCATACTAAATGCTTCATCCTTGTTTGTTTACCATCATCAGCGAAACCACACACGATTTCAGAAAACGTCGTCATATTGCAGGTTCTACTCAGCTCTGCGATATTTGTGGGCCCACGTCGTTCAACACTTCCGCCAACGTGTGTCTACCTACCTCAGTTCCTCCATCAATAACCCCTCCGGCTGGCTACTTGGCGGCTCTTATATTACTTACCAGAATGAGAATGTAAGAGAAATGGTCAACAATCCCCGAAACACTGCTATCAGCTTCAGTTGACAAGTGGTGCATGGCAGTAAAAAGTACTTGGGCCCAGACTTGTATGCTCGTAGTGTGGGGTTAGGAATCTCGTATATATATAAATATATAACAAGTTTATTTCCCAACGTGTAAAGGATATGCGATTAAAACACAATCGGGTCGTCACAGCCCCTGAACGCGGCAGGCAAATTCACAGTCGGGGGGAAGTTACAGCAAACGAGACTTGCTTATTACGTGAAAAGCTACCGCGGTTGCAGGAACCGAAAAAAGCTAGGACGGCAGGCATGAGGTACGACTAGTTCAAAGATGATGCCAGATGACAGGAACTAAACAAGCATTCAGGAAAAATAGATAATTTACATTTTATGCCTATGTGATCGCTTCAGAGAACAAGAGACAAGAACGTGTGTTGCGTCTGGATGATGAGGTGGATTTGGGGCGGTGCAACACAACTAAAACCAAGGTGGTAACTCATAAACTTCTTTCGTTAATGTAGCCGCCACCTAAGTAGGACTTTTGCACATTCCAACCGGAGCGAGGACAACCAACCATAATTTTGTCATTCTCATCAAATTACCTGGCTTGATATGGTTCAGGGGCATTCGCGGTAGGATGAATCTAGGTCACATTAGATCACACGAAATGGCTCACACACGCGGAGCTTCCGAAACTAATTAATCTCCTCGCACTCATCGTTCGGGTGATCCCTAGATTGGTTTTCACCCTAACAGGGTCTTTGACCGATCATACTTCCAGACAGAACGCCGGTAATTGTACGCAGATTTTGCGATTGACCAGTTAAAATGTACCGTGTTGCGTGAATTCCGCGACCCGGTCCGATATCTTGTTCAACGCCTTCCAGTAAGATCACCAGAAGGCTGCAGCCAAAGGACCATCTGCCCTCAACATGCATTGGTCAGCTCTTCAAGCGCCCTTATTTGTCGACATTCACTTACCGGCGTCACCGCTGCTAGCCTTTCAGTCGTCACGCGAACACCGCCCTGTGCACCATACTAAATGCTTCATCCTTGTTTGTTTACCATCATCAGCGAAACCACACACGATTTCAGAAAACGTCGTCATATTGCAGGTTCTACTCAGCTCTGCGATATTTGTGGGCCCACGTCGTTCAACACTTCCGCCAACGTGTGTCTACCTACCTCAGTTCCTCCATCAATAACCCCTCCGGCTGGCTACTTGGCGGCTCTTATATTACTTACCAGTATCTCCTGACAGTGGTCTAAGGATGAAACCCTTTCTTTTACCCCCATAGTCCAAATGCAGACTGTCGGTTTGTAGCTCCATTTCTACCTCAGCCGCTACACTCATAAGCAAGAAAATAAATTTCATTCAAATAACTTCAGGATAAGGAAAACACGCTTTCATTCTGCTCCTTACTGTTAAAGTGTCGTTTCTGTAATGAGACTATTAGATCGGCCGAGTTTCTCCATGACTTCACCCTCTGAACAAAGGTAACTTTGCAGTCCCAGCTTTATACGTCGATTTTCCCCTCCAACTACGACATTTTCTCATTTTCTGGAACTTACAACAGTGGTAATGAGACCATAGGTCATTTCATCTGGAGAATTTGTTAGGTCTTCTACGCTTTGGGGCACCACTGAACGTGGTTCGTCTAACGGACAGCACTTATCTCCCTTAAACATGACCTCTTGACAAGTTCCTTATTATCTCTCTCACGGGTTCACCAGCCGCGTGGCCACGTATGTAACGGCGGATATTACCGATGAAGAATGCGAGTTGTATTTAGTTTTCTTGCGTCTAAAGATAGGTGGAGTATTTATGGAACCTGTATTTTTTTACAGTCACGTAAGAGTAAATGAGTATCCACGAAAATTCAAGACGTCTGAGGATGTTCGGTTTTTAAAATAAATTTTGTATAAGTTGTTTGGTTTCTTGCTTACTAGTTTGTAACTGTTTAGTTGGTGTTTGCAGATAAAAGACATGCTTCATTGATTACCGTTTAAAAGTTGCGTGCGACAACAGATTGGATGGAGAATGAAAGTTAGAGAAACCCCTTTATTCCTCTTTTAGCCCTTGGAAATTTGGAAAAAGTAGCAGAGGATTTGTGAGCCCGAGCGAGCGCGAGCATTTTGACGATAAAAAGTAAATGAAAATAAAACAATTTTGCCGACAGCGGTCGACCTTGAAAATCCATTGATTAGCCAGAGGCATGGAAGGCTTCAGTGGGGTTGATTACATTGGGAGAGAGAAGATCAAAGAAAGTTACCGGTTTAGTTGCTGAAAAGCAAACATTTGACAGTCCACTTGGGTGTGTGGCATCCTGCTCCTAAATGGGACCGGGTGAGTAGCATCAAGTCACTGATTTTATGGACATAGAATGCTGAAACTGCAGAAAATTTTCTCGGGCATCTTCGGCTCCAGAGGAAAATTTAGTAGTCACGCCGAGAGACTCGCTTGAGCTAAAAAAAGTTCAAGAAAAACAGTTTGCTCACGCTTGCATGCATGGCCTTAGGAATGTAAGATAGCACATTTGGGGGTATGAAGGAAATACGTGGAGACATTCCGTCAGATTAATTATGCCAGTGCTATGCCATTATTGCTATAATCCACCTCAATTTCTAGGCAGCTTTTAGTGTTAATGTGTGTGAGGTGTTTGGAAAAAGAATGTGAGATTTTGGCCACCAGTCGATTTTGGGCTGGCAAGCGTTATAAAACCGGTAATCATCGGGCGGATGCCGACATCTCTGATGAACTTGGAGGACCTGGAAATGCCGGTAAGGACTAAACATGACAGTCGGAGCTTCAACAATAAAAGTGGGAACTTTGGAACTAAGAGGAAGTGAAGAAGATATGTAGGGGGCGTGGAGGCATGGACAGAATGGAGTGCGCCGATGGGAACAAAATGAGGTTTCCCCCTGGAATGGACTTGTGTCGACTGACCAGGTCAGAGAAGCGTAAAATATGTCCACTCACATTATTCCTTGAGGAGGTAATCTGGGCTTTACCAGCTGGTAGTGAATGTCTTAAGCCTATAATAAATTAGACACAGCGGATCCGACCTCCATGCAGCCAACGTCTGGCTATGAAGATCCGTAACACCACTCAGCCAACAGTGCTGCCTGTAGCCGATGTTATGCTAGGGGCCAAAGTAGAAACATATCACCAGTCATTAGATCTCCATTTTCTACGCTTTTTATCAAACCCGCTTGGTTTTCGCCACGATTCAATTGTTTTGGGATACTGATTTCTTTCACACTACCATAGCTCGTTCACTCACCGCTAATTTCTCCTGCGATTAACAAGCGCATAGGACCCGCGGTGCGTGTGGATCATGACACAGTGCATGACGCACATGTGTTAAGCGGCCTAGCACGACTTTATAAGCAAATTCAGAGAAAAGTCCAGTCTACCATATCTAGACACATACGCCTTTCCGAAAAAAAAACGTTTTTCTACCATGTTCTGCAGTACGGTGTGCACCTGTCATACCATTTCGATCAGCTTAGGTAAGATATTGTGAGGTTCCAATCCGCAAATTCTTGAGCTTGCGCACGAACGCAAGTGAATTTGGCATTCTAAGTACGGAAGAACTGGACGCACATGCCTTTCTTTCAGGTAGCTCAAAAACGCTCATGTAAGTTACATGCAGTTTATTCGGCAGACCTGGCTGTCGAAACGACATGGTGGGCGCCTCGCAAACTTAGTTGTAAATGTTGGGCTCACGCCTGTTAGCTAAAGCTTTTCTTGGCCCTAAGTTCACAGAGTTCTTTCATCGTAAAACATTTCTTCAAGAACAGCTGGCACAAAAAGTCCACACCCATGAGACAAGATCTGGCGGTCACTCCTTCTGTGATCCACACATAATCTCCACAAACAAGCAGGCCATTTTCGCTCCTTCTTTTCCGGGTTTTTCAGTTGTCGACCATGTGAATCAATTCAATACTAGGAGTATGGTTCCAATGAAACATTGCACAAGGGTGGCATGTATGCCGCTGCATAGCGACACAATGTGGCTTCCAAGGCTCTCGCGAGACGTCACATACTGCTTTCGGAGTCAGCAGATATGAGTGCCGAAATTATCATGCTGTCGAACTTTTGAAGCAACAAACCGACGTCGCTGATATTGACCACTAAGTGGAACGCAAGCCAGCTCCTGGACAGTCAATGTTGTGTGCGTACAATAAACAAACTCAACTAGTGTATGTTCAAATCACAACTTTATGGATGGACGCATGCCTTACTCGCGCAAACTATGGTGAAGCTATGGCCGTCAGTTGTGGAACCCGAATCCAACGCGCCGGATAAGCTCTGTCGTGGTTAGAATTGAATTTAACCAATCAGCTTGAAGTCTATGCGAAGAAAACGGACAAATGAAGGGTGAATGGAGTTCATTCAAAAACGGACTAGGTGTAACAAGCGCCACTGAAATGAACATGTCAAAGCAGGGGGAAAATTGAGTTCAGGCTGAGCTAACCCATGCAGCAATGAAATTTCATTTATAGTTGGCTCCGATGCTTATCTCTAGAGATGTAGACTATTAGTACTTGATACAGTTTATGTAAAGAAGTTAACACCGCCGCATATCCTGCCTATAAGATCCACACGAATCCCGGTGGAACGTAACGGCTTTTACTGCCGTAGTTTTTTCCGTCACTTACAGGATTTCAGTCAGCAGTGGCTTGCTTTGGTAGACGGTGGTCGGGCGTTTGAAGAACAATTTGATTCCGTGCCTCATCTCACACATGCAAAATGACTGCGGCAGGTGACCTTGAAAAGTAACTCACTCAAACAGGATGCCATCAGCAACATATCACTCAATTGTGGAGCCAAAATAGATTGGCTTTCTACAGAAAACTTTTACGTATGAAAACCCAGTTTCGGGAAACTAATTTAGCTTTGCTGCTAGTGATCGTCCTTTGTGCTGCGGTTGTGTAGCCATGCACGAAACCGATGCGGAGGCATTTAAATTCTGGTTATTTCAATGACAGTTTATTCGGTGTTGAGTGACTTTTTTGTAGAATGTTGCGTCGGACGTGGGCTGTGCGGAAAATGTGAAGAATCAGAAGCAGCCCAAAATATTGAGTGGATTATGTTGTTTCCTTGGGTTAGCTTCACGTTCCGGCGGGTCTACCTTGAAGTCCACAGACAGAGATGTACCATTAAGTGTTCTTTTGGCGCAAGAAGAAAGAATAGGGTGTTCTGTTGGCTTCATTTGTTTTACAAATCAACTTATCGCAGCATGCCCAGAGGTGTTGGGATAGAAGCCATTTTAAGCTAAATACAGTTAACCCAAACCTCGCATTCATGTTTGTTCTATAAGGAGGCTATAAGGAGATCTCAGCTTTCCCCAGGTAGATTTAGTAGGCTACTACCATCAAAGTCTTATAGTCCCTGTTAGTGCACATGGACATCAGCCACTAATTTTTTGGATTTTCTCATCAAGTTACGCACTATCCGCTCTTTCTTACTGGAAGTATGTTGATAAATTTGTGCGGTAATTATTGGTTATCCGCCTACCCAATTTTCAAAGTCTTGAGGGATGGTCTTAACCAGTAGCGCCCAAATAAAAGTNAGTCCCTGTTAGTGCACATGGACATCAGCCACTAATTTTTTGGATTTTCTCATCAAGTTACGCACTATCCGCTCTTCCTTACTGGAAGTATGTTGATAAATTTGTGCGGTAATTATTGGTTATCCGCCTACCCAATTTTCAAAGTCTTGAGGGATGGTCTTAACCAGTAGCGCCCAAATAAAAGTGTTTCTCGGACTTCAAAATAAACTTTCTTTAACTAAGATAGTACAGTACACAATTAGTACAACTACTGTGCTTTTATTGTCCAGAGGGACAAATGAGCGAATTTCCTGCCTAGGTTTTTGCACTGACAAGATGAGTAATGAGGTTAGCAAAATGTGCTAATCTTTCATCTTCGGTGACGATTCACCAGATTAATTGCGTTATGAAAGTAGAACCGCCTCGACTTTTGGAGGAATTCAACTGATATTCTTGCCTCATTTACTTCATGCTATTAATAATGTTATCAGTAGTGTGTATCAATTGGTGAGGTGTACTGGCTCTCCGCTTTTACTATTCGCACTGACCGACGCAACGGAAGAAAATTATAGGGACCCTGAAAGAGTATTGATTTGTCCATCATTCAGAGGACAGAATACGACACCTCTGCTATACATGAATACTAACCCAAATTAACTGTTTTCTGTTTTCTCTTGAGTTCTAATAATGTTATCAGTAGTGTGTATCAATTGGTGAGGTGTACTGGCTCTCCGCTTTTACTATTCGCACTGACCGACGCAACGGAAGAAAATTATAGGGACCCTGAAAGAGTATTGATTTGTCCATCATTCAGAGGACAGAATACGACACCTCTGCTATACATGAATACTAACCCAAATTAACTGTTTTCTGTTTTCTTCTTGAGTTCACTACATAAAGCCAATCTCTGGTCAACGTTAAACTGTAGTGAAACCAGCTCTACATGTTTTTATTTTGTAGGCAAGTTCGATCGGTGAGTAAGTTGTTACAACTCAAACGCCAACTTTACAACATAAGCACTGTTAGTGGCTATATAACAGAAATAGATCATGGTGAAATTAGTGAGGGCATGGAGGCAGCGCACCGGCCAGCGAGTCCAGTGTAATCATACACCGATAATGTGAAGAATCGATAGAAATATTGTGCATTTCGGTTATATTAGGTATGCTGGGACTGTGCATGAAGGTGGAGCAAAGATATTCCAAAACAGATGCCGTGGGATCACAAGATAGTTACGGTCGATTCGGCCGCAACTCACACCAATAAATTCGGTTGTCTTATCTAAGGAAATACAGCAAAATACCTGATTCATCGATATAGCTAGCTGATCGGAGGAAAATACAATAAAAATGCGGCTTTTTCCTCATAACTCAACACGAGAAGACACCGAAGCTTACTTTAGCTGGATTTTGGGAATGAAAGCAATCCAGTTAAATATGCTACACATGCAGTGTTATCGCAAACAGTGCAGACGAATATAAGACAAGACGAGAAAAGGGAACCAGGTGAATGGTCAGGGCTGTAACTTCCAAGTGACTGAATGCAATAGCACTTTGCTCATTTTGTCATTGTACTTGATGAGGTGCCAGCGACTTGGAAAATATCAACTGGCAATGGCAAAATCAAGTATCATCTGATTTTAATGATAACTAATCTGCAAGACGTCCATCTCAATTCGTGCATAATGTGGGGGTCGTGTGGCAGTCCAAGTTAGTAAAGGGTAGCTGAAAGTGTAGATGTACAATTTAAACAGTTCTGAGGTTGTTTATTCGCGTGACAACTTATTACTTTTTTTATTTTATTCATCTACCCACCGAGCCTAATGACTCTGAGATTGATGAAGATGCATTAAAAGACGAAATAATAACTTTCGTTAAATAGGCCAAGATTTGACAAGATTTGTCAAGAGGTAAAAGGCAAGCAACCCACACATTCCAAAAGTGTGCATTACAACACGAAAACCGGATTGACTGACAGGGCTACTCTATGACTTTTGACACCTGGATGTTCCTTTTGAACTTCATTTCAGAGAGCACAGATTTAGATTAGAAGCAGGTGGCGAAAGTTGCAAGAATCATGATAGGCTGATACTCAACATCGGTTCGTGCGGTAAGCGTTAATGATGACACAACAAAAAGAATGATAGAGCACTGAAATCCCTAGAAGCGCATGTGGTTACACAGTGGGAATCGCGAGTAACAAAGCTGGCGGAGTAACAGGGATTCCATGTACGGTTTCAGCAGTATTACGCGTAAGGCAGTTTCTCCATTGGAGAGATTGGTCAGAACTTTATCGCTTACCATTGATTACACTGAAAAATCAGATTTTTACCGTTGCAGATATGTACCACTACCTGTGTTGTGACGGTAGGCGGGAAAATCAAGACTTAAAAATCCGGTACTTATCTGGGGATTGTGACATTTTGAAGTGAGGAAACTAACAGCATTCGTCATAATAAAAAGCTTATTCCGGCCGTTGCGAAACGAGGTACCTTGGAATGAACTATACTTATTAACCACCGAAAAAAATCTGCATAAAAATGCCGAAATTTCAGGTATACGTTTAGCTTTGGATCATGTGAGCCCACTTTTTCAATTTAGCCGTCCTTGTCTTCTGTTAGAAGCACGCCCCCATTTCAGACTGAACGAAGGATGGAAGATTTCCACGTGAGTATATCGTTCACATGTGACACTCTTTCAGTGCGTAGCCGCTGTGCAAATCAATGCAAGCACGATTGCTGAAGTACTATCATAATCCCAAAAATTGGCCTGAAAACAATCGAAAGGTCAACACTGAACTCGAACCACAGTACTTCGGTGATCGGATCCGCGCCTTAACCACGAAACTGTACACAGCCGTAGAACAGCATCTAAACTCAAAAACTATGACGTCTTTATTTTCATTATGTTTCCAATAGGTTCAAGAAAAATTCCCTGATCGGTGTAAGCAACTCCCACACTAGATGAAATGTACACAGAATGGTATTTTCTACGTCACCCAACAGTCTCATTAAAGCATGAACGGGACTTTTGGTCCATCCCTCAGCTCAAGCTGATCGCAAGTTTTTGCACTTAATACATCAGTAAATTCATACCATCTGTTTTCAACATGTGGACTACCTCCAACAATCTCGAATGTCAAACTATCATACCTGTGCGAGTGTGCTATATCAATCAATCAATCAATCAATCAATCAATCAATCAATCAATCAATCAATCAATCAATCAATCAATCAATCAATCAATCAATCAATCAATCAATCAATCAATCAATCAATCAATCAATCAATCAATCAATTCAATCAATCAATCAATGATTGATCGCACAAACATCGGAGAAGTTGTCGACCGTCAGTTTGCACCTACACAACCTTCATGATAACAGCCGTTTTCGTCCTGAACTAGGGCTGCCTCATGCTGCTGCATACAAGTGTATATAATATACCAACGACTTATGAGTGGTGATGGAGGCCCTTCTTTTTAGTAGTAGCCCTTATTCCATGCTATCAACTGAACGGACCTAATAGAAGGCTGTAAAATATCAGGACCTAGCGCGCTTGATATTCACCTGTTAGTTTTTGTTCAATATCAGTTAAAACACCATGAAGAACCGAGCGTAAAAGGCATCCCAGGAGTCCTTCTGTCAGGTAATTAAGATTTCAGTACAGTTGTTCCCCTTTTAATTTGTGGTGACCTGCTACCATTTCCGAAGTGATGAACAAGAGGTCGGTCACTCACTAAAGCTGACGATTTACACTAACTCATTACAAGGTATGATAAAAATGTATATATTTTTTATAATTTCACTTTCACAAAAGGCACAAAATTTCCACAGCAAAGTCGGCGCTCGTGGATGCAAGAGTGTTGAGAAGTGAGGAGGTCTGGCGAAGTAAGTTACACACGTGTGGGTGCGTTTTCTCAAAGACCAACGGAAACTGAATGTCATATCTGCCGATATTGAGCATGTACGAAAACTCTGCTTAAAACCTGATTGGAATGGTTAGTGAGTGCCGGAAAGTCCCAGTTATCGTCCAGCCGTTAGAAATTTGCATCCCAGCCTGAAAGTTCGTCAGGAGGTTCCCCTTTATCTTCCGGACATTTGTCAAAGTTCCGTAAATCTTGTTGTGAATCAACCTGGAAAACATGCGCATTGGGATTATGCAGTAAGATTAATCACAAGTCACTCCTAAAGCGCAGATATCGTGATAGGAATAAGGTGGAAATTCCTAGGCGCAGTGTTGTAGGATTTTTTAAGGTTGCATGGATTGACTAAGATATAAGTGATCAGAGTATAGGTTCAACCACACAAGAACTGTCTCGACTATGGAGCTGCATGGGTGGGCGGGTAAGATCATCAGGTGATTTTGGAAGGAACATTTGGATAAACGCTAACTGATAAAGGTTGGTCGGCTAGTGGGTAAACCCGAAATGAAAGCTTGCATCCTCCAGTCAAACTTTCATTTAATAAATCCGACCTAAGTTTACTTGGTGAGTTACAATTCATCGCGTGATTGATTTGCTTGCAGTTGGGTTACACTCACCCAAGTAACGTTTGGTTACATTCCAATCCCGTGGTTGGGTAATTGTGGGGTCAACCATGAGATTTCATTATTGGTCAGAAAAAAAACTATCAGCAATATACCATAACCTCAGAAGGAGAAAAATCCCACAAGATGAGTGAAGATTCCTTTTGAGAAGTTTTCACTTGGGATGTTGGTCAATACATCATCACGTGATGTGGTTCCCGTGGTTAAAGGCTGGATGGTGGTGTGTCCTCTCTGAATGACAGTTGGTCACACTGCTGATTGACCGCTGGTGGCTAAAAGGTTGAGCATTCAAACTACCAGCTGTGGGGTCACAGGTTCAATACTCTCTGTGGCCTCCTGAGATGCGGACTGATGATTCCATTCTGAGCTCATTGAATCTGCTTTTCTAGGCCGAATTACAGCAGACGCACGCCAGCTAAAAAGATGTTATGTAGTGGTGTGCTGGTGACACAGTTTTGCAAACATTTTCAGCCTACAAGAAGGTTCGACGCCAAGTTCAACTGATAGTCCTACTATCGACAAGTACACTGATATCATTGGTTACGTGGTGACGGAAGCTGAACTAACGGACAACGAGCGACAACAAAGTGGTGGAGTATTTGTTGAACGGTACGCTCTTGACGCTTGAAACCATGGGTTGGATCCTGAGGAGATACTGGACTTAGGAACCGTAGAAATTGACAGATTTTATCGTTAAAGGTTGCAAGCATTAACTCCATCTTTCCGGATGACTGCCGTGAGAGCCTTGCTTTGACAGTACATCATAAGAAGTCGATGGGCCGCGCCTCTGTTTCATTGAGTACCAACGGACTACAATCGAAACTAGTACTGATCGTGTTCCATGGACTTTACTATAAACTAGACGTTGATCTTCATTTGCTCAATAAGTCTCCGTAAAAATTGATAAACGATAATAAGGAAGCTGACAACTTGGACTTTTACATTGCACACCACTAACAAGGTGGTACACGTACGATTTCGACGAAATTTAGTGCGAAAGACATCTTTTAAGACTTGTACAAAAAAATGGAAGTCTGAGAACATACCAGACAGTTCTGAAGCACGAGTATCAGTTTGAATGTCCGCCTGCACCATAACTCTGCTCCGAAATATCACCGCCTAAACGGTCAAGTATCACCATTTTACTTGGAATGAAACTGGACCCACGCCAACTGCACTCAACGGCCTACCACTCTCAGACTGGCGGGAAGTGAAGTGCAGTGCTTGTGGTTTGTGTCAAATATAGATCAAAGCCTCGATTCATTTTAACTTGGAACTTTATTTAAAGTTAGTGAAACGATATTACGTGACGCCGATACTCTTCTTGAAGTGACTTATTTGTCTTCATTTTCACAGGACAAGGTTACTGAAGGATCTTCAGCGGTTCACTATGCTACTTGAAGACATGGCGAAGTTCTGAATATAATCTCAGCCAACGTATTAGGCAGCCATTTCGTGGAACATTCATCCGAAGCATGTTACAAAAGAGTTTCAGCAGAAAAAAGCACTTGGGCCAAACAGCTGTCTTACCATCCTCATCAATACGTTTCTTTTAAGCGAATAAGCGCATAATGTTTATGTCTGTATCAATGGCCAGGAGAACTAGGCTAACTACTCGCTTTCTTGAAGAATTTATCATCATACTCATCAATCCGGTGGTGAATGTCATGACCACAACAAAGTTGGTCCGTAAGGGTAACTTTCTATTTGAGGGGAGCAAGCTGCACTAAGCCACTTTAAGTGGATACGGACTACATGATGATCTAATCTAATCGTCGACAATATAGCCAAGTACAACATAAATACAACAGATAATTTGTAGTTATGCAAACAGTAGAAGTGTTTGCGCGGATTGACTGGATTTTAGAAAAGTCGGTTTGGAGAACTGGCAAAGTTTGTCAATAATTTATATCCGCTTTCTGATGAAGGAAGGTAGAAATGTAAAATCGAAAAAGAGCTTTCTAAGAACCGGACTTTTGGCTGTTTCTAATCTACTTCATAGAACAATTTTCGAACTCAAAGAGACGGTCTTTGCTAGGGTGGGATTCTCAGAGTCTGGGGCAACGTAAGCGACTGAGCTGTAAAACTTACTTGTCTCCGGTAAGGAGGTTCAAGGACACGTTTCTGAAGGCCTTTCCAATCAAAACCCTCAAACCAGACGTGCTTCTCCACTTCTCGTATGCCTCCCTTTCCGTAACCAAAACGTTCCACTGAAGAGTCTCTGAGACCAAATGATAACAGGAAGAATAGCTCTTTAGTGATGGATGATTCTGAAACCTGCTTGCTTCAAATCCAAATGAGTCCTAAAATACAACGGAAAATTACGCCAAACAACTAAACTGACAATCTGACTAGAAATATTTGTTTCTCGAAGCCAACGAAAGACAACGGGCCTAAGAATCCTTATATCCCATGGTGGATGCTCGATTTTTTACGAAAAAAATGAAATACGTTCTGGCGCACGTCATTCACGAGCATATATTAACCTGGTTGAAATCCGCTTGGTTTGTTGTTTGATAATCACCTGTCCGATATTCCGGTTAACATTCCGAACTGGATGATATATTCCTCAAGCATGAAAGATTCGAGTTCAAATAAACAGATGTTCAATTGATCTTGTATCTTACCGAGAGGAAGCACTGTTTTTGATGAGAACTGTAGCAGTCCAGCGTGAAACTCTTGAGTTCCATTGTGCTCAGGATTAATCATTCTCGACTTATCGCTTACAGAGATTTGTTCGCAAGTTCCGAGACTACAATGTTTCCTCAGTGGGAAGATTCAGCAGAGTTTTGGTGGACAGTATTTTTTTTACTAATGGCAATCCATTTACTCAGTTAATAGTTTTGGTGCAATAAAGCCAAATTTGTACTTTCCTTTTCTCAAACAGACTACTCTCCAATAAGGGAGAACCAGTCAGTAGTCTTTCCTGCCCCGTTGAGAAGAGACTTCTGTTATACTAAAAAACTTTAGGGTGTTAAAAAATCTCGAAGTGAAGTGTAATCATAACTACTGTGCAACTAAATTTGGTACACACATCTCGCACCATCCTTCAAATAGAGGACTCACCTGCACAACTTCCTGATTAAATTTTGTGCGTTTCCTGTAACTTTTGGTGGGAAGCCAACGGCATCCAAACCTTTCAAAATCAGGTTGTACGTCCTCATTGCATCGGGAGAATCAAATGGAGGTCTAAAAGTAAAAATGAAATTTAAACTCAACCCGATTAGTGTTACCCGGTCAGATCAAATTCTGCAACTAGTGACTGGACATTGAAATATCATATCCAGATTTCGGACTTGAGGGCCATGTCAGTCTACAGCAGTCAGTGGTGGTCATGTGATAATGGGTTTCATGTTTGAATGACGTTTTATCCGGTTTCTGATCGTGTGTATTCCGTGACCTCATTACAAGCGATTTGTATCGGCCTGATAACGTTGGTCATTCCGTACCTTTAAGCATCGGCACATAAATGAACCCTTCATATACATCAACCGGAAAAATCCCAAAGCACTTCACTGTGCGCTAAAATTATTTGTTAAAACTAGTCGATTTTATACCTTCAGATCCTAAGTTGAACGTTTGCGTTGTGGCGTTGCATGAATGAGTAATGCACCAAGTTAATTTTAAAACGATTTCCAAGGCCAACTCCGAGACTACCAGACGATGCAAATTATCTCATCTAAAAGGCACGTTGCTCAGCAACACGCATTTCTCCGGAGCGACCAGCTGAAGTTTTACATATAGGAATAAGGAACATCTTAATTAGTCTAATTTTTTCAGTGTGCACCCTTTCGGCGTCGAAAGATGAAATTCGAAGGTGGATTATAGAAAGACATTTCTGTAGGAGATGCGCCTTTTTAGCCGTCTGACCACTGGTGTTCAGTTTAAGCACGTCCAAGTGGGTCACACACTAATTGGAGCAACAACATTGGTTAACATTGGTTACCTTATGACTTGGTCCGGACGACCAAGTACATTATAGGATGCCAAGTAGGCAAGCCCTCCTGAGGATGCTGTTGTGATTGGAAGCACACAGAAATCCATAAGCAGAATACCGCAAAACTTTTGTGAGAGCTGAATTGTTTTGGATACTTAGTACCATTTGGGACAACCAGACCGATAGGGTAAAACATCAGACTAAATTTGCCAGGTTAAAATTTTCAGTCGTAATTTATACTGCATGAGTGACTTGTGCCATCAGGACGTGTTACTCTGAGGATAGATATTTACGAGCCGAATACGTCTGATGCACGGGCAACTACTAATCTTTTAATGCCATCTAATTCGAAGGCTGAAAATTCGCCTTCATAATAAATACTTTGCAAAAGCCTATAATGTGAAAAGTGGTTGCAGACTGGCATGAAACTTGAATAACTGGGACATGTTGGCATACTGAATTATCGACTACAAGGAAAGTTATGACTAAAGAACGCAAACAAATCCTCTGCGAAATCTGTTGTAGACTTTTCTACAGCTTGTAGTTTCACCAGTTATAAAATGTGAAGGTCAATCTGGCTAGAGGCGAGGAACCACATCCATTTTGATACGTCAGTTAGAATGATCTTGTCTCTACTCGTTGTAGAATAGGGACAGTTGGAACGAATCGGCGTATTTTCTACCATTGTTTTGAATCGCAGAGTCTAAGGCGAGCGGTCCTGCTGCGTTCGGTGTTAGTGGGTGCAAACCGAATGTGATCAATAGAACACTGACTCACAGAAAACCATTGGTTGCTACTGGTTTCGGTCGTACGCTTTGCACCTGTGTATTCATCGCAAGCGAACCTCGCATAGACGCATCTTTTCAGCTTTCACAAATGTGTAAGGGAAGCAGGACAGTAGTATTCGTCCAGTGCGAGAAATCGTTTTTCAAAAAAGACATGTGTTGTGGTCGAGATTCAAAAGGAAAAGTCAGTGGTATTGGGGTCAAAAAACAAGAATCGATTATTACAATTTGGACCGCGAGTTTGACTGCTTAGTACAAACTAACAGAATCAACTGTACAGGAGCACCAGCTAAAGAATGTGCCTCAAGTAGGTAAAACTTACAAGCCCGTTAAAAGTTCATAAATCAGGATGCCTAAAGACCAGAAATCCACAGCCGAATCATGTCCTTTATTCAAGATTACTTCGGGTGCCATATATTCAGGTGTGCCACAGAATGTCCACGTTTTGCTTCCACTGGGGACTCGCTTGGCAAATCCGAAATCAGTCTAGAGGAGAAAAAAATTCCAACGGACATAGAGCTTCATGTGTTTAACTTATCAGCGAAAAACGCTAGAAAATTAAGTAAATACTGCATGAAATCAATTGGTGGGATGACAACGAACCAATAAGTTCACCATACAAGTGTAGTGATTGAATTTCCCATTAGTGCGGTACGACATATTTCTGTTTAAACGTTTTGGAATGCAGCATTAAGTGAACCACGATCCCTTGCTGGCTGATTCTTATAAAGTACAACAACTTATTTTGTTTAGAATGATGGGCTGGAAATGCAACTTCTCAAAAAAATCTGCCAATTAACTTTAGTAACAAATTACACGTGAAAATGAGGCGTATTCAGTAATCCGATTTCACTGAAACTTCAAAAAACCTGAACTAATTGTAATGCTCTTGTTCTGCCAAATTAAGCAACACAATCGTAAGAACTCTAAGTTGCAACGATTGTTCGCGTTTATACACATTTATGTGTAGATGAATTTCATTAATCCCAGTAATCCGTTTATTAAACAGCCTTCTTCCTGAATTTGAATAGGCTTTAAGAAATCCTCGGGCGTACGCATGCTGCGAGACAAAAAGTGAATTTCACATGTCAAAAACGCATCATTCGATTTCGACAATTGCCTGGGATGGTTTTGCGTTTACCGCTTCGTAGTTATTCATTTGGGTACAAACGTACGCTTACCAGATATGCAGGTCAACGACATTCAAACAAGCGTAAGTGGTATACTTCGGAAACGCGGTGTATCTGGATTATTTTTGGAGACGTGTGATATTGGTTCAGAGGTATCGGCAAGATGGACTTTTGGTGAAAAAGCCCAAAAACGTTTAGTGTTAAACGATGAAATTAACTCAAGTAGGCACAGTCAAATACGTCGGTTAATGCAAGGTTAGTTTAGCACAACACTTCCGAATCGGGGCTTTGCATATTCGGGCTAATTTTAACAGGAGAATGGATGCTGGTGGTTCAGAGGATAAAATGCAGCCTGCCTAAAAGGCTCAAGGAGATTAAACAAAGGCGGCGAGATTGCGGATTAAAGTTGTTGATATGCCACCACATCATGATATTTTCGCCAGTGAAATAAACGCTGTAGTTTCCTACCGACTGACTCCACTTCGCAACTGGTGGAAACTTGGCAAATGTCTTTAGTGGGTGAGTTTATATTCCGTTCTAAAGTGAAGATCATGCATAATAATGACATCACGTTCACACTTGATTCGTTTAAATACTTCGCTCGGCACGATTTTTAAAAGTGCTCCCCCATCTATGCTGCTGAGCTGCTCGTAAATCGGTATCTTGCTCCAGCAGATTTCGGAAACATCATTGTAAATATGATCGATTATATTGCTAATTCATCCTGGACTCAGAAAATATTTGGGACGGATTCTGAAGCAATTTTTTCATAGAAGGATGAGGAGACTTTTGATATATGAGGATTTCGTTCCGTAAGTGAAGCCAGTCTATGCTGAAAACGAAAAGCACTGTACCGCTTTTTCATCCCTTTTGGGAATCATCAACAGTGCGCATCTCATTAGACTCCAGAGAGTCTTGAAACGGCAATCCCCTGGGAAGTAGTTTAACACTTAACCGTTCGGCTACGAGCGGCTGACCAGCAGTGTGTGGGTCCCGGGATTGAAAGATGAGTGGCGCTATATCCTACCTAAGTGCGAGTTACTCACACTACTGATCAACTGCCCGCGGCCGAACGGTTAAGTTTTCAAACTACCGGCCAGGAGGTCATAAACAAAGGCGGCGAGATTGCGGATTAAAGTTGTTGATATGCCACCACATCATGATATTTTCGCCAGTGAAATAAACGCTGTAGTTTCCTACCGACTGACTCCACTTCGCAACTGGTGGAAACTTGGCAAATGTCTTTAGTGGGTGAGTTTATATTCCGTTCTAAAGTGAAGATCATGCATAATAATGACATCACGTTCACACTTGATTCGTTTAAATACTTCGCTCGGCACGATTTTTAAAAGTGCTCCCCCATCTATGCTGCTGAGCTGCTCGTAAATCGGTATCTTGCTCCAGCAGATTTCGGAAACATCATTGTAAATATGATCGATTATATTGCTAATTCATCCTGGACTCAGAAAATATTTGGGACGGATTCTGAAGCAATTTTTTCATAGAAGGATGAGGAGACTTTTGATATATGAGGATTTCGTTCCGTAAGTGAAGCCAGTCTATGCTGAAAACGAAAAGCACTGTACCGCTTTTTCATCCCTTTTGGGAATCATCAACAGTGCGCATCTCATTAGACTCCAGAGAGTCTTGAAACGGCAATCCCCTGGGAAGTAGTTTAACACTTAACCGTTCGGCTACGAGCGGCTGACCAGCAGTGTGTGGGTCCCGGGATTGAAAGATGAGTGGCGCTATATCCTACCTAAGTGCGAGTTACTCACACTACTGATCAACTGCCCGCGGCCGAACGGTTAAGTTTTCAAACTACCGGCCAGGAGGTCACGGGTTTGAGACTCTCCGGAGTTTTGTGAGATGCACACTGCTGATGATTCTCAACAAAGATGAAAAAGCGGTACAGTGCTTCTCGGCTTTTCAGCATAGATTGGCTTCACTTACAGGACGAAATCACTACAAAAATCCCGAATCTCCTCACACTACCACACTATATCAGTAGCTCAGTGGAAGAATAAACTTCACCCGATGAGTGAAACTTCTATCTGAGAAGTCGTTGCTCGAGGAGCCAGTCAACACGTGTGACCGCGTGATATGGATCCCGTGACTGAAGGATGAGCGGCGGTATATCCTGTCTAAACGCGAGTTAATCACACTGCTGATCAGCCACTCGTGGCCGAACGATTAAGTGTTCAAACTACTAGCCGGGAGGTCGCGGGTTCGAGACTCTTCGGAGTTTCGTGAGATGCGCACTGCTGATGATTCCCAATAATGATGAAACAGCTGTACAGTGCTTCTCGGCTTTTCAGCATAGATTGGCTTCACTTACAGGACGAAATCTCCACAAAAGCTCGATTCTCCTCACACTACCAACAGGCCTTTGACGTTCCCGAAGTCACCATGGAGTACGTGGCAGTTGTCTGCGTATCGTTTCAAAGTATTCGTTAGTTTGACAGGCTTTCATAGTGAAGCATTTTTTCGTGAATAAGATTGTACTTAGCTTAACAGATAGGAAAAAGTACAGCATGCTGACCTAAACCCAGGTTCTTGATGCCTGTTTCTCTGAAGCTTAGGGCATCCAGAACAAATAAACTCCATTTGAGTTGAGAATGAAACTGTCGGATGGTCACCTCTGTAAAATGCTTAAAGAGTTGGAATGGAGAATTTTACCTGTTGCGAATCCACCTTAGATACCATGTAAACTGTTTTTATCAAACTTCAACTACATGTGTTTACAGGATTTTGCATTACAGCGAATCAGCTGATGCCAGGTTATTGAAAGTCAATGAGGTATATAAAAAAACCGGCCTTTCATGGAGGCTTATAAAGGACCGAAAAGTGACCGTCCTACTTTCTGGAGTTTAGTTGTTGACACGACCTACACAGGAGTTTCGTGTCATTTACAAACTTGGATGCACTAATTAGCATGTAGGTTTCTGTTATCTAGTACGTTTGAAGGTAGACGGTAAGGAGCTAAATTTGCGGAAAATTTGGAGTCGTATACACCACGTTCCATTTAACAAACTTTCCTTTCTTCCTTCCTTTCGTTCAGACCTGCAAGCCATCACACAGTAATTCTTCAAGCGAATAATATCAACCCAGCGGGGTTGCCTATTTTCCCTCATCTGTCCTCAGATTTTCCATCATTCCATGTACAGACCACATTCAGGAAAGTCCGCTCAATCAAAGTTCTGCATCAAGTACTAATTCTACGGTGGAATAATCTGGACTGCATATAAGGCAGTGCTGTTTCCATTTGGAGGTCTAGCACCTAGCAGCGGAATCGCTAAACACGGCTCCTTGAATATCCCTATCTTCAGGATCCCTCTAAGGAATTCAATGCTATCTTTAACAAAAGAGGTACTATTGGACCTTTACGATAGAAAAGGTTATTTCGGACTTAGGTCATTGATGCGCCTTCTGATCGGAATCCGACCAGGTTTAACTGATCAAATCCCAGTTAAAAAATTAATGACAAAGACGACTTGATATGACCAGTATCGATCAAAACTAAAGAACCAAAAAGTAAACATAGGTTTGATGTTTGGTAGGATCAAGCCCGTGAAACCAAATCTCCGTTTTCTGATTAAAGAAAATTTCAGAACTAATCCGACAAATGATGTGCTTCTTAAAACAATCTAAAACTGAAATAAGACCGACAACTTGCTTTGCGGTGAGGACATGTTACTTAATGCGTATCTACGGGTTACGCGAGCAACTCACAAATTTGTCTTATTAATCTGAACTAGTGCGCATTCATATACTCGTCTGATTGTCAGTATGGTACCATTCATGTGTGATTCTCCCTGCTTAAAGTGTTGAAATTCACAAGGGCTATAGGCGTATTCAGGCGTTTCCAGGTAAATTGGGTTGGTCTGTAGTGTAACTGAAAAACTAGAGCAGTTGCCCTGGTCCTGATAATAACAATTTCAAAATAATTTTTGGCTTCATGAAAACGCTGCTTTGGGTGTTTATAAACCGATGATACCAGGGTTGATTGGCTGAGTCAAACCTGGGTTTGAGTGGTAGGCTTAAATTATCCACATGTCCTGACAGCCAAAGCAAAACATCGGCTTAGTGTTGTGCTACGAAGAAACAAATTGTTATTTTCGACGATCGTCTTTGTCAGATGCTGATGAAAACTGTCAAGGGGCTAAAAGAAGGAAGGAAGAATGTCTGTTGCCAGAAGGAATCCTATTGTTCCTATTGCTGTTACTATATATATTTGGTCACCAAACATCTATTAAACAAAAGTGAGTAAGTTGTTGAATGAGAATACCGTGTAAATAAGAAGAGGTCTGAATGGATCGCGGACTTTTTGGACTCCGAGTGTATGGATGGGTGTCCCAAAAAGCAGGTCTGTGTCATTGTTAAATCTAGATACTGCTTCCCGAATAATGAAAATGACGAAAACTTGGAAGAAGACTCAGTTACAAATTGTATCCACTGAGTAACGTGCACAATAAGTGAAGTCCAGCCAACCAAATACTGATTTGATCTTGTGTGGAAAAGTGTTAGACCATAACACAGTTTCACTTAAATTGAAATCAAATAAAATACGAATGCTTACCAGTTTGCAGTAACCTTCATTATCCAGTATAAGATTCTCCGGCTTTAAATCACGGAAGATTATGTTGAGTGAGTGCAGGTAGTCCAATGCCTCCACCACACATGCCACATAGAACTGAGTTGTTGTCTCGTTGAAGAAGAATCTGTTTTAAGGTATAAGGATACAGCACAATGAAACAAGGCAGAAGGTCAAAAATGAGCAGAAGACCTTGGACGCCTGCGTGAACACATTCAACACTAGTGACAGAACTCAGCGGAAATTAATAGATAGTAACGACTTTTCGAATCCAAAGACAAGGCTAGCTTTTGAAACAATGTGTAGTTAAGTTACAAAGATGACAGAACACCCTACTTAACTTTACATGGGTTATTAAAACAGTGACAGGATTCTCACATATATTACTTCATTGGTTACGGAGTTGAAAATATTTTGAAAAATAAATTTGAATGTCCTCTTTGTAAGTTCAGTTAGTACCGGAAATACTGATGAATGGCTACAGAATGACCTAATTATCTGAGGATTGTACTTTGCCGAGTGAATACAGTTCATGCAAAATTGGCGATGACCACTGCGTGGCTTTCTACTCTTGGCTCGGAATAATCGATTTCGCCCGTTTCACAAAGCCCAAAAGACATTCATTCGAATGCGCATCTCTTGGAAAAGTAGGTCTGCACTGTCGATCGAATGTTTGTCGGTTTGAAACTTGTCCTCGAATAGAACGAACAAACACTAATCTTTCAGCAGTGCAGTATGCTGTTTTCTACTGCATGAGAAACCCTTTGACGGCACATGTTCTACGAAGAAATAGCGAAGTACTTCCAACTTTTAGATAGGGAAGAAAACACCGCCTTTTTATTTTAAAAGGCGAGATATTTTGAATTTTTCACACGTGCAGTGGAATGCGCAGCTAACTTAGACAGTGGAACAGACTGTCGCCTGCCTGTATAAATCCAAATAGAACATTGACTAACTCATTAGACCTCGTTAGAAAACCCTCGACGAAGCCATTTCTACCTATAAGATGTACGATGAAAAAAACTCGATTTCAATGAATAGAAAGATTCAGGAGTAAAAACAACAATGCATCGACAATATAAAGCAAAGTGATAAAACTTTTGATGGATAAAAGTCAAGGGCTTCTTTTTAGGCTGTAGCAGGATTTTTCAAATGACTTTTCTTTCACAGCAAACGGTTTTAAAATGCAATAAAATTGAGTGCGATGGTTTTCTAGAACGGGATTTGAGACGAAAAACTGTTTGCTAATGTTAGGTCGCTTTCGCACTTGTGTTTAGACTGACTGTGTTAATGGCCCAAATAAACTGAATTTCTTAGTCTATTTACAAGCGTGACTTCAAAATTTCGCAGAAATAAAAAACTGGGTTGACTTTTAGTTAAACCTCACGCGATTTCTATGTAAGGAAATGATTTTTTTTGCAACAAGGAAATTTAATTACCTAATGTCTTTGGTAAATGTGTTTTCGGAAGTTTTGTTGGAAGCGTATATTCCAAGTGGAGATCACCACGTTTATCGTACGTCTAACATAAACGGGTCCTGTCGAACGACCAACATGAGTTTCAAAGGCACTAAGCTAAGTAGAATGAACGTCGTTCGAAAGACGACCAGCAAACCGGATATTGGACCAATCAGTTCACAAGTCCTGCCACTACCTGTTTCAGTTTGTTGCCAAAACTATCTGTCCTGACACAATGCTGCTTAGTCATGCATACTTACTGATCACGTAGTAGCGTCCAGAGTTCACCACCAAGGCAGGGCTCCATTAGTAGATAGACGTACTTCGAATCCCTGAAGGTCTTCCATAGCCTGTGGTAAGAACGATTCAGGTAATAAAAAAGCATTTCCAATAATAATACACTTTGCCATGGCAGTCGCCCCCACAATGAAGAAATCAAACGTTGTTGTAGTTCGGCAGGAAAGTACGGACTAAAATTATACCCAACTGGAAAACGTCAGACACTGATAATCTGCAATATTTCACTCCCAAAAAGAATCAAAATAAAAAATAAAAACACATATGAGACATTGGTTTAACAAGAGTCAAAAATGTTTTTTCCAATATCTGTGGCTTAACACAAAGCACACGTTGTAAACAAGGAGCTTTAGCTTCTGTGAGTTCCATTATTGCGGGCAAAATAAGTTACATAGAGCAATGAGAATATGGGAAAAAATTGGTTAGAGGAAGCTTTTGGATGAACTAATAACAGATTTTCTCCTTTTTAACGTCACTAAGTGCTCCCAGTTTCTTAATTCCTGTCATTTTCATCCTAGTCCTGAACACTGAATTAAACATATGTGGAGTAGAGTTGTACGAGCCTCAATTCTTATATTTTGTCTAAAGACAGGAACAGCCTATCTGTAAACGGTATGTCACCAATTTTATTATCGGCTAATCCAAAATGAATCTAGACTAACCGTGCACTTAATTAAGGCGCATAAATTTTGGCCAGGAAAGTAGTAGGAATCCGTCACGTGCCGCGACGTGTAATTAAAGAATGGATCAGGTTAGCTATCAAAATTGAAAACATCATAGTCATCTGTTAACCGTTGATACAACCAAAAAGAAAAGCAAACTGAAACGGGATACGGACATTCGAAATGAAGGTGATACGAAGAGTCTTGTAGAATCCCTAAACAACTGTGTACGAATTCGTTGGTTCAAATATAAAAAAAATACTCTACCATTGGTCTCTCTCGCTTGCAAATCTCCATAACCAGTAATTATTGCAAAGGAAGATTTTGTAAACAACTGATATCTACAAGAATAAACAAAGCTCAGATTTTATAGAGCCTGGTCTCGAAAGACCGTGGTAGAATACACAAAACGCGGGAGATGAAGACTGCAGAATGCGAATATGGTTTGAAATCTCGCTTCACTGAGATTGTATGTATTGACTGATTTTTGGTTAGTTAAGTTCAATGACCTTATGGGATAATGTAGTGTTCTTAGCCAGTCTGTAAATAGAGTCTTGAGTGGGGCCTCTTCAGCCTGATTTCTGGTAACCAAATACATGGCTTTGAAAATGTTTACAGTAGACGTGCTAGGTTAACTCATTCTGAAATGGGATGCAATTTTGGTTGTAGACTGATGTATACAATGGCGGGCCAGATGTTAGTCCATAAAGAATAATAAGCACGGAAGTTGGTTTAAAACTACTATGTTAATGGGGCATGGCGTCATAACCTAAAAATTATAATCTTGTGCAGATATCCTGGATTGTGTTCGAAAGCTGGGACACATTAAAAATACAAGTACATCGCTGTATATTGGCTAGGTCCTTCAACGTTTTCAGAGAGCCTACAGTGAGGCATCCCGAAATGCCATTAAATAGATTTCATCAAACTTAAACGTAAAGCTTTTCAGGACCGCCAACCTTGAAATGTATCCTCCGTAACCTGAGAAAAACTACCAGGACGGGAAGAGTCCTCCTGTTCTGATCAAACGCGTCGAAATTCTAACAACCACCCTCAAGAAAGAGGACTGTTTCCTTGTAGCACTGCCGAGTTATGTTGATTATGTCACCAGTTTCACTTGCATAATTTAACCTGAAGAGGCCGGTGGTTAGAAGCGCACACAAATTAAACAAAAAATCGTTCCGTTTGTTTAAACGACAGTTTCTCATCAATCTTCAACAGAATCGTTATACATTCGGAAACAACAGTGATGAGAAAGAGAATGAGAGCAATACTACTGTTTTTGATGAAACACGAGTTCAGTGTAGATGGAAATCCGTCTAAATAATCCGAGGTCAAAGCATGCATTAAGTATCCACTTGAGATTTCGTCCTGCTAGTGAGACACTGCTGTGGACTCTCTCATGGACTAACGGTTAGGTATTCATAATATTAAATGTGAGGTCACCTAATACAAGCTGCTGAGGATTCTGAATAAGAGAGAAACAGTTGTACGATAGTTATCACCTTTCAGGATAGTTAACTCTCAGTAACAGGACGAAAGCTTGGTAAAAAATTACCGTCATTACCACAAACAAGGCAGTTAATATGCTTGTGACCCTAAGAGGGAATAGCCACAAAAACAGCCATCAGAAAATTATCGCGACAGTTGTTAGCGGAGCAATTCTGCGACAAGTTGTTAGCACATAATCAGTTGTACTGGATGTTATAGCTGAGGTGACGTAGTGATTTGTGCTTAGCTCATGATAAATGATAAAATTCTTAATGGTTTTTCTTTTTTGTAGCCATGAAACTTCTGGTGGAACTGTTTGTAGACTGGATTTAGATTACTGTGAATGAATACCAACGAATTTTGGTTCTGTTTCTTGAGCATCATCCTTATTTATAAAAGAGGTGTTTGTACTTTCCCTAAAATATTAAAAAAGTATGCTATCAGTAAAACTGAAATCAATAATTAGGCCTTCAGTTTTGCGTGCTCGTCAGACTGGTGTTGTGGGTCTTAAAATTCCGGTCTCCATAATATATGCACACCAGGATGTCTCCAAAGCAATTCTGTTAGTTGGATGCGATATTCTACGGTTGTACTGTTAGTACAGTAGATCGAAGCTAAATAGCAGTGATGCGAAAAAGAGTTTGGTACCTTTTTAGAGTCCAATGGTGCCGTTTGTACTACACTACGATCTAACGGACTGCACACATATGAACCAGCATTGTCTAAAAGGCCTATTTTCTCCGAAAAAGATCCAGAAATCATCCGGAAAGAAAACCGATAGCATGGTGAATAGACAGCAGCTTGATATGTACGTCAGCGTCACAAAGGCTTCGACCAACTAAGTTCCTTATTTTTTTTACTGTGTTTACGAAACTCACCAGTTTCCTTGTTTTTACGGTGTGACTAAAACCTCCATAGAGCTTCAGCATCATCTCAATACAGACTACCATGTAGGTGAAATCCATCGTTGGTGGACTAAAAGGGTCAATGAACAGACGTGCCACAATGAACATCTTTGAAAACTCTGGAGATATCCGGTTCCGCAAATTTCCGGACTGTGGATGAGGACTCGGTTGTTTGACAACTAGCGGTTGAAGTGTGGTTAACCCATGCCGAGGCAAGTTGTGGTATCATGCATTCATAAGTTACACTATATCCACTGCATGTTTGCGGCTACCTGATCTGTCATGTAATGGTCTCTCTGACAAGTTCATGCCATTCTTAAGGCAATTTCCTCGGTGTAAAACTACTTACAGTCTGCCAGTAATATGAGAAGATTTGGTGGTACGCAGCACTTATCAGTTGGACCCTATAGTATTAAGCTACTATCCTGGGGGATTCGAATTCATATCTTGCTAAAGGTTTGTAAAATATGCACTGCTTCTGTTGCTGATGGTGTCCCGACAAGTCTATAATTGTAACTAATAGTGGCCGTTGGCTTGTTCGCTGAGCTGGGCAATTTGATTGCAAACGTTTCATCACAAATCGAGGTGACATCATTAGTGCGTTATTGTGGAGCGTAGTAGTGCGTAGCGGTGGGTTGGTGGTGGCACAACCACCAACCCATCGCTACGCACTACTACGCTCCACAATAACGCACTAATGATGTCACCTCGATTTGTGATGAAACGTTTGCAATCAAATTGCCCAGCTCAGCGAACAAGCCAACGGCCACCATCTACGATACCTGAGCTACCAACATTTTCCTCTATAGTGTAACTAATTGCCAGTGAAATTTTTGTATTGTGAGATTGGTTGCAAAAAGTTTGTAAAATTGTTTTTGACCGATGTCCGTAATTGATTGCCGTTTTTTTTTGGAGAACTCTGAGAAAAACAGAATGTGAACCACCTTCTGTGAAGTCCATTGATTACACCTAGAACCTTTACCTTAATTTAATTTAATTGATTGCCGGCCTTTTTTGGAGAACTCTGAGAAAAACAGAATGTGAACCACCTTCTGTGAAGTCCATTGATTACACCTAGAACCTTTACCTTAAAGAATTTAATTTAGTACGCACAAGAACATTTTTTGGGCTTCAGTGTTATGTTTCCTCTTCAGTTTCCTCACTTTGGACACTTCATCTGTTTTGTTTAGTATAACAGTACCAGGTATCTCGCCTGGCTCCAGTATACTAATATTCTGGTTCCACTTTAACTTCTGCAAAAATCTTTTGTTTTCTCCTATTAGAACACAGATTTACGACATTGGATAGGAGCACCATTGGTTCCTCTTTGAGCCAGTTTTCGTTCCTAAGAGAAGTAGGCTGAAGCTCTCTGATTTAGGAGATTCAAGTGATACTAACTCAACTGTTGTCAAATCAAGGGTCAAATAAGCAATTGCCAGGAATCTAATCATCACAAGACGCAGAGGTGAACTGCTTTCATCACTCCGTGTTATAACCTGAAGCGGCTCATGTTGAATCATTATTTTAAGCTTGTCCTCCGCTCTCAGAAATAACTACGGGTAGCCTGAGATTATCTGGACTTTGATGGTCAGATTATCTTTGTACTTTGGCTTTGTTTATCTCGCATACTTTGAGAAGAATAAGGTAATGAATGGATTTATCTGGGATCCATTTTGCTATCACTGTCTCGTTTATGCGAAATATTGTATAATTTGACATTTTGACATCACATGTCCTATAGGTGTTCCGAAAATTCTGTTCGCAGGAATGCGTGGCCTAATTATGATTAGAGTGACAAAAGTCGGAACTAAAATTACTCAGTACAGATGTACTCCGCAGTGCCACACTGAATTGTGCCATGATGACTGTAATTACCCACAAATTGGACGTGTTTTTAAAAGTTTATCCTTCTTGTTTTGCTAGTACATGCTAGAGAAGGTGATTAACGCCACGGCCATGAAGTCATATCTAAAAATCTATCTATATTTTACAAGGCAGGACAATAACCATGTAGGTAAAATTGTTCTTCTCCGGCAGTAAAAGAGTCACCATGTGTAGCCCAATGGATATGAGCAAATGGATTTATTCGTAACCAATATCTTGATCAAGAGAGATTACGCCATTAGAGCCAAATCACTAAACACTAAATTACTTGTGACTTCGGTGTAAGTCCTATATCCAAAAACCAATCGTCACCCCGCAACAAAAATTGGAGAGCACGTTTGTCTTTGGGTACAAAGATGTATCATCTTTCAGGTGAAAGCCTCGCGTTCTATTCCTCAAAACTGCTACGCACGAGAAAAATACATCTGATCCAGTCTCGGAACTCACTGTTCTCCTTATCCGCCCAAACTCACTTGATCTGAAGTTTGCTGAGACCGTGGTTTTATATTACACGGAGCTTTCACTGTGTGTTCAAAATGGTATTCTGTCACCCATTCAACTCTCGTTCACTTGGTGGCGAAACGAATAGTACATTTTGTTCAGTAGTTCAGTCTGTATGCACGATGAATTTTTTTTTATATTTGAGTTGCTATAGAACGGGTTATCCCTACTGCTGAACATTGTACACGCAACACCACACAAAATGCCATCAATAATCGGTTCTCATTTCCACGATGTATCTTTCAAGAACCCGCAAGGAGGAAAGTGTTTCGTATGACTTGAACATCCCACTATTGAACTTAATAAATTGCAATATTTCAACCGATCCAGTTTCGGTCACTGATTATCCCGTAAGTGGACGTAGAAACAATGATACAATAGTTATCGGACAAAATGAACTAACATCCTCAATTGACGATAAAATGGCTTGTGTTTAACATATTACTACCAATAGTATGTTGAAAAAATTAGCGACTGTACTTCATCTCTATAAATCAAACTTACTTGACAATGAACTCCGAGTTGACCTCCAAAAGAATCGTTTTCTCGTTAATGACATGCTCCTGCTGTTTTGTTCGAACAATATGATTTTTCTTCATTTTCTTCAGAGCAAAACTCTGGCCGTCGCTATCATTCAGTTTTACCTATTAGTACAATCATATAGCGTGGAATCAGAAAACAAGGAGGATGTGTTTAAAATTACTCTCATGTGTATTCAGGTGCAGCTTGGGGCTTTCCATTCGAAACTTGAGCAAGGTTAGTAAACTAAAACAAACATGTAATAAAGTTGGGCAACAAGCTGCATCACATGTTTCAGGATGGCTGTAGTTGATTTGCACATTGTAGTCCCACATAGTTTACAAACTCTCGCAAATTACTTTACACAGTAAAGAAAAATGTCTGGTTCACCTAGCTGAACTGAGCAATATTTTCGTAGCCATAATTATTGTCCTCACTCTTGACTCATCATCTTGTCATCACTCTTGACTCATGAAGCCAAAGTATCTTGCAGCCTTTAGAATCGCCTGCACTGCTTATTGACAGAGGGCTTTCGGCAGATGTGTCACAGTAAAGAACTTGAAAAACGCTTTGAGCGATTCTTTCACATAAAACGCAGACACGATTGAGCATATTCAGTAATTATGGAAAGGCTTGAGACCTTCCGGCACGCGCTGGTAGTAAGGTGGTCAATCTATTTTCTTGAAGGTGCATTGAGTATTGCTCAAGTAATATTATAGTGAAGAGCGCGCACAGTCGATGGGCTGCAAAGCAACCGGATTAAATGGTGGCAACTGGGATAAAATCTTCATCGAGAATAACTGAACCAACCCGCAATATCAACCACCTATAATTGGCTTTGCGAAAAAATTCGCAGTAGGTGTAAAATATCTATCCGTGATAACTTCAATAAAAGTGATCACGCAATGCAGACGTGATGATGGTAGGATGAATGACGCCGTAACCGGTGTGTTTGCGATTGAATCATACTGCTGGTTAGTTGCTCGTGGCTCGACAGCTCTTTCCAAATTTTTGCTTGGGTGATTTTAGGTTCGAAAGATCCTAGACTATCCCAGGATGCAGAATCCCGATGGGTTCTAACAAGGATGAAACATTTGTAAATGACATCTTGGAATTTCATCATTTATTGACTTAAAGTACAGGAACAATTCCGCCCAGTTTCTTACAGTAACAAGTTTCGTGTTATTTGGTCAATATTCAGGGCCTATCGACACTTCAATTTTGACAAGTTCCCTCCCCAGATCCCTATTGGGAAAACTAGAGAAGTGTTTAAAACAGTTTGAGAAACCAAACACGAAAAATATCTAATTAGAATGCAAGTGCTCAGTATTGTTCTTAATTTATGAATTGTCAATACTCTTGCAATTGTTTTGCTGAAAATTTATTTTTTAATTTTCGGAATTAGAGTCGAAAATGGCGCAATATCATGGGTTACACGGGATTATTTTCCACTCTCTGAGAGCGATCTGCTTTAACATTCCGTGTTACATCGCAAAGGGACGGGAGATGATGGAATTTTCTAAACCGTTTGAATTTTTGTCCACTCAAAATTCTGTTTCCGGACAGCAAAAACGAATGTGGAAATAACATCGTCAGCACACCACAAAGACAGGTCAGAGAAAGTTACTGACTGGTTAAGCGCACTCAGTGCTTTAGCTAGTTCTCTTCGATCATTTTATCAAGTTTATCTCCATCAACTAATTTTATGTTTTGGAACGCAGTTTTGCCATAGGAACAAAAATGATTGTCTGCACTCCAATGATCTTTGTGCTATAGTATTCTGCAGCTACAGTGTGTTCACGATAAGCCACCTTGTAGAGGCTGTCTCGTTTATTTTACTACTTCAAAAGTTTGTGGGAGCCCACTGTTCATGATTCGGCTTATTTTTTATCCGATTCTATTTCGAATTACGGAAGTCGCAGTTTGAAAAACATAGGACGCAAGTCACACTAACAAATAAGGTCTTTTGCCGTGTTACAGCACTAAGCTTTGACATAGACATTCTTCAGCCTCATTTACAAGGTTAGTACCCGAGTTTCTTTTAAGCATCTTCCGGTAAGGAACTTCATGCTCCATTATCGGAACAAAGCGGATATTAGACAAATGATACGTACAGGAATTTGTGCATTTCTTTCACCTAGTATTGGGTTGTTTTTGTGGTTGTTTTTTGCTGTTTAATTCAGAAATTGGGATAATATTCACTCGCGTCTCCTGTTTTCAAAAGGAGAACGGCCTCCCGTCCAGAGCACCACTAAGTTGTGAATGAACTACCCAAGAGATGAACTTTTATTTGACTTTAGTGATGCTCAAAAACTAAAATTTTCTCAAAGCCCATTGACCCAATAAAAATGTCTATCCTTTTGCTTGCACAGGCAATGACCAGTAAACTTAGTTATCTAAAATTTCTGGCCCAATAGCAAGCCCACAACGTCGGAGCTCCTAGCTTTTCGTTCATGTCGTTTTGTACAACGACTTGGTCTTTGAAACTGTGAGGGGTGAGTTGAAATGCTTATTCTCGCCGCGTGACGCACAATAAAAACAGGAAGCTAAAGTGAGGCTAATCTTTCAATTGTCTGGTCATATTTTAGAGAACTTTGCTATTACAGCCCAATGTAATGTTTTTGAGGAAAAAATGCTGAATGCTGCCTTCAGTTTTTTGAGCAAATCTGGTTTCTTAAGCAGTTGTAAGAATCCAACTGACACGCAACATAAAATGCAATTTTGATATTTCGATTTCTGAAGTTGATTTCCTTCTTGCTAGATATGAGTTTATAAAAAGCCATCTAATAAGCAACCTCACTTTGAGAGGGGATTTCTTGCGTTCTGAGGGTTTCCTTCTTGTATGGTTAAATTTCACCAATTAACCCAGCTTGGAATGTGTCCTAGCTTCGAGCCGATTGGCTAATGAGTGTTTTTTATCACAACAATACTTGGTTGTCTAGTCGTAAGCGTTAAAAATGAATTTTTAAAAGGCAGTGGTGGGATGTGTGTGGTTCTACGAGATTCCTAAAAATGGTAATTAATTATCCTGATGATGCTTAGTTTTTGCAAAACCAAAACCATCACAGCATTTTGCTTTTTGTGTGTGAACTCACGCGCCTTGACCGAAATACTAGCATTATTTTAGAATACGACTTGTTCGAATTTGGGCGATGTGCTAACTTCCAAAACCACCAACATGTGATTTTGACTGCTTTTTTTGCAAAATTGCCACGATAATTATTTAATTGATTTCTGAGAAATTGTTTTGCGCACGAACTGCTAATAAACACTTGGAAAATTTAGATTTCGACCTAAACAAAAAAGGACACTCTCAGAACTACTTGAGGTTTAGTTCAATAAATGTGAAACCACATTCAATTCGAGGTAACACTTTTTGGAATCTAACACGCGATTTGTCAGTTTTCGGTTAAAGAAACGAATGTTACTGTTTTCGACAAATAAACTCATTTACAACTCAATTTAGTTTCCACAAAAGACTCAACCGAATCTTTCGTTTGTGACATTCTTTAACTGAGTGTGCTGCACAAAGACATCCTCATGTTCCAGTTGGTATGATATTTGAGACATCGCATTATAATTCTGTAATTCTGTAATTCACAAAGTTGAGAAAAACCAATCGACAGCCTACGGCTATTTTTACTCTTCTTGGGGCTTATCAGGTAGGCGCAGTCCCCGAGGTTCTATCAACCATATCATAATTGAGGGATTTATTTGAGATTCTTATGAAAACAAATATGATTTGCAGATAAGTGTATTAATCGAAATCTAATCCAATTTAGCGAAGCACAATTTGAGTTCAATTATAACACAATGTTAGGGAAACTCGAGGACTGTACCTACCTGATGGCCCCAGAAACAGTGAAACCGGTCGTGGGTTGTCGAAGAGTTTTTAGTAACCTTGTGAGTAGCTTGTTTTATGATAATATCGCTGTTATGGTATTTATGCTATCGTGTTTTAGCCAGACGTTTGATCTGACCAAGTGTTTTCGTGTTTTTTATACAGACCATACCCTTATGTTTGAGATCTGCAACGATGACATGAAAGTGGTATTGAATTCATCTCTATCCCCACTGAGTATTGTCTACAATATAGCTACAGACCTTCAGCATTCAAGACAGCGCTCTACAGCAAACCAACTTTGAGCTCCACCAGTTCAAAGATAGTGTTTGATGTTTTATGGTTATCAGCATTATTTCAGGTAATTTATCCCAAAGTATCAAAAACTGAAGCATTCGTACTTCCAGGGGGCAGTGTGTGTTTACCCATTTTAATGCCCCTTGGCTCGAAAGAAAGTGAACTCGGTTATATTCCGTTACTAGCTGCCACTTCCAAACACAACATTAATGAGCCCTGTTTTAGAATTTGCTCTTCGAAATTTCAGTAGAAATTCTATCCTTTAAGCTTACGTTTGCGACCCAAGAGGTGCTTTGGCAATTTTGCATCTCTGTTTGCAGTCATTACCAGAAAATCCCACGTGTGTATTAAAGTCCTGGTCATTTTGCTTTTTGGTAGAAAACTATACCATTTTGCCAGAGATGGCTGATCAGCAATTATGATTCACACGGAACATCACACCGCACATTGAGTTATCAAGCAAAGTCGGCCATGTAAACTAGTTGCAAGTTACCGCGCTCATCAGCTAAAATCTGTCGTGTGACAGTGTTCAACCACCACACGAAAAGTTACGAGTTCAAGTCTCTCCGAAGGCTTGCCAAATAAAGATGAATGCAAAATACATAAAACACAAGTATATCACTTTGTGTGTCAGGCATGGACTAAATTTACCCGCAGATGTAAGTCCCACGTGAAAGTAAGATAAAGATTTACGTAAAATTAATAAACCGCCTAGTTATAGTCTAAATAGCACGAACATCTTACTCGATGGTGCTCAAGAGCAGAAAATACTAGGTTGCAATGCTCAGTCCTGGCGTAAAAAAACTTACGACCAGGCTTTTTAAATTATTCATCCAGTTTTCTTGAAATTCAGTCGTTTCTGCAGTAATATGTACTTTGGAATGTCTCTTATCTGTATTCGAAATGTGGCCACGAACCATCCCCAATGGTTTCAATTCTGGAACAAAACAATGTTTGAAGAGACCAACTCAACGTAAAATAGCCGGTTACTCAGCTGTTTCTGATTGGCATTGCCGAAACAATATATACTGGGTAAATCCAATCACCTATACAATGCACTCCGTATGCGTGCATAATTTATTGAAAATAAACAGAATGAATTTCTGTCTGATTACGTACCAATTCAACTCGACCAAATCCACCCACGCCCATTGTCCCAATAGTCTTCAAGTTTTCCAAAAGAACATGGGAAAACCGAGTGCGGTCCTCGAGCTTCCTTCATGATAAAAACGAGCAAAGGTAGGTCAGTTTGAAAGAAGCCAGTCTTTTCCTCTATATCCTTAGTGACATCTTATGTTAACCCTGAGGTACTATACAATGAAAAACAGTCAGATCCAAGCTTTGAACACCATACTTACTAATTCAAAGTAGAAACCACTGAAGCAACTTTTAACCGAGACTTAAATATGACTTTTTGAGACAAAACAGATTGAGTAAAATATGGAGAAACACCTAAGACTGAGGAAACGTCATCGTAACCTAATATACAGACAAGATAGCCCACTGTTTATGTCCCGAAATTTTTAGCGCCGTTAAACCCAGAGGACATTTGGTGGATGCTATTGGTGGTGAAACTCAGCTCAGCAACGACCGCAGGATTCCGCTTAAATAGTGCGGCACAATAAACTTGAAGCCCAACGAGGTTATCGGGTGTTCGGATTTGGGGCGCACATTTTCCCCTACCACAGTAAGCCACATCAAAAATGTATGAGGCGGAGTATTCAGAGCTGGATAGAGCACTTTTCGGCAACATGACTTGATAAACAGTGACTATGTGGTCCTTTCAGAACAAGTATTCCCCTCTGAAATGACCAATGTGAAGATTATATACCCCTCAAGAAAGATTACTTCCAGGTGTTCCGTTGAAGCCTTGCTCAGTGTAAGTGATTCTAGGTGGTTGCTCCAGGAGAGGTCGAGTAAACACAAATTGCTGTTAAGATAAAAGGAACCAGTTGATCATTTGGAAACAAACAGCTATAAGCCGCAAAAGGGACTCTCTTTGATGTAAAAGGTAACTCGGCATGAAAAAATCTCCTCTGTCCTAGTAAAATATTTTGTTTTCATTTATGATATACTTTTTCTACACACATTGCAGGAGAGTGCTACAGTCAAGAGGCTAAAGTCAATTTCTTTTCCTCAACATTGATAATCCTGGTATGAAATCGATTTGGGTTCAGTTAATGATGTACTGTGCGGTACTTACTTTTGCTAAATGTTTGTTCGTACGCAATTTACTTTTTCTGGGTTTTACATACAAAAAGCCTTGACTCTTTAGATATGGGCTTTAAAATTGGGAATGTAGAACAATTCAACTCAAGTGGCTTCATTCTCCATACGAAATTGTTGCACTGCTTAACCCAAAGTTCATCTGACTGTTCTGAAAACTAGTAATTATCCATCTGTTCCTTGTATAACTTGGGAAATGTTAATCAAACCATAGCTTTTAAGCAACTTCCTTCTTCAGCAGAATATTTACATTCCAAGCAGCTCTTTTGTTGCCATGAGCACGAATGCTGTCATAGATTTCCTTTTATTTGTCCACAGCTGTGCAGCTAACTTCGCAGTTAGAACAGAACATGCATCTGATGAATGTCGCATACATGAGCTTGGTTCGCAAATGCAGTTGCCACTATCCCTCAAACGAAAGTGTCATTTTTATGATTTTTATAATATAGCAATCGAGACTAAACAAAATGTGTTAAAACGAGAACTTGAATAAATCTAGTTGATAAGCCTTTAGACATAGGCTCAAGACACGAAAACACATAATCTCAAGTTTCTGCAACTCATTTTTTTAATTTGAACATATATTTCCATGACACAGCGGCTAGTCAGCTTAGTATCAGAAGGTTATTTTCGAAAAATTGGTTCCTCCATAGCTTCATCCTTAATGGGACCACTGTACTTTTATCTTGCATTCTCGTTTCTGATACATAGCAAATGTCGATTTCGCGCGAGCTCACTGTGGGAGAATAAGCAGTTTGTTGTTCTGTCTGTTTCAGAGTGTGAAAATTCAAGGCAGTCAAAAGACTGATTCAAGAGCAAGGCCCAGAGATTTAATGTGGAATACGAAACCAACTAATGATTTTAGAAGGGGGAAGTTGGGTGGAGCGAAGATAAATAAATAGTGTGTGAAGAAGAAGGAAGAGAAGAAGACTGTTCCTATTTAACGCCCTGGTGTATGCAGTAGGTGAGGTGACTCGGTTGATGACACTACACAACAGACGATGTGGAATGAAATGTAGAAATCACTTTGTTTATGCAATGAGATGCTTCCAGCAAAGTAATCACCGAGCAGACGAACGACAACCGGAGCCGTTTGGCTCAAAAGCCTGACCACAGTGCAGTAGACTTCGGCAAAAATTTTGCTTTATCCCTTTTTTGAAAAGCAAGTCACTATACATGGTTGAATCTCAAAATTCAGAGTACTAGGTTACCGTACTGACAATATCTCCATTTAGCGACCTTGTGATTAGTTTTCTTCCGACTAACGCTTAGACGGATATTTAAAACCCAAATCTTTTCCAGCTTAAGCTTTCACTTTAACTACTTTGATCACACTCAGCATATAAAAAGTGGTTAGATACGGAATTGCTGCTTATTCCAAAAATCTTATAGATGAGTGTGTAAAGGCTTATAATTGTGTTCCTTTAAATCAGTTTTAGGCACATTCAAGTAAACTTTAGAGATACAGCATATAGGGCTGGAGCTAACAGGGCTCTTTCAAATCTCGTCAACAGCGCACTGACATTCAGATCTAAATAGGCTGCAGAACAAATCCTAGCGAAAGCTAAAAAAGCCAGTGCTTCTATAAATGATCATGCATGGGATTTAGTCGACTTGGCTACGAGTTCCAGTGAGTTTATTTCATCCCCTCAACTCTCTTCACCAGAGACTTGTAAGTGGTTAAAGCCAATGAAGTATTGACGTGCTTTGCGTGGCTCACAAACTTTCCTTTTCTTTCTGTTTAATGCTTTTGAGCAATTTATGCGCGCCATATGAATAACACTAATATTTTTCACGTCTATGGACTGGTTTGCCGTAAAATAATGTGGAAGGTAACATTCAACTTTTCAGGTTACCCGTCAGACCAAAAACTTAAAAAAACGAGCCAGCAAATAAAAATGTACATCAAGTCACTTACGAAACTTGACGGATTTTCAAATCAGCATAGTGACGTTGCAGCGCTTCCAAATCTCCTATCAGCGCATTGTATGAACTGAAAAGCAGCACAGTTTGATGAATTTTAGAATATAAACGCAAAATGTTTTAATCCAGTTAATAAAATCTGCATCAATAGCGACACTTTTATTTTGATTTGCTCGATATTCAGGTCAACTCGACTTTAGTTGTTTATATTATACCTCGTAAATACTTCAGACTAGTTTAAACCAAACATTGTCCAGTTTTCCGCGTTCATGACTCACCAAATCAAACTACTTTTTGTTATACCAAAATAATCAGGGCCCTTTCACCAACGCATACAACTTCGTAAATTTTAATACAAGTTGCGAAGATTCTAAAACTTTGTAAAAGTGATGTTTCACTCCCCTACAATAGCATAAGAAAAAACTATACTAAAGCAGTTCTGTCGGCCACGATTAGGAAGTTGAAACAGGAGTTCCCTAATGGCTTTGCAAATGTAAGGCTATCTGCACACGAAAACCGCCGGACTCATTATAAACTGACTTAATGTTTAATAAAACTACCAGAACCCATTTGAAACGTTTATTCTCTATCAACTAAATGTTTTTCACATTATCTTGCACGCCATAGTAAGGTTCCTTGAGAGTTCTGTATAATGTATTCGATCAAGTTTCGTGCGAAGCTTTTTGGGGCACTATTTTTCACTATTTTTTCATCTGAAAGATTCCCATTTCGGAGTTAAAAGTAACCGAGCGAAAAACGGATCGTGCTGCAATGAAATTATCACCCTGTTGATCAATGAATCATTTCCTATCTTGAATTATCAAAACTAATATTGTAAAATATGTATTGCGTAATTTGTTGTAGACTGCCTAGTTGCCAGATATCTGACTTTCCTAAAATAATAAACGACACATTTGAATGTTTTTTTTTAACTCAATGGTCTTCAGTTTACGTGTACCACATAGGAACGTCAAAACACTGTGGGTTTTTTTCGGGATTTATGCATAAGTACAATTATTGGTGTTTGCTTCAGCCAACTACCATGAAATAACACTACTAAGCGGTAACGCCAACCAGAACCTAAATAACTATATCTACTGTGATCTAACGATATTACTGTCTAAAATCTCCTTCAAGTTTTTCCATTACGATTCATTTGTAGATGGCAGACACGTCACTATCCGACAGGTTATGTTTTCACATTCATTACCCCATGAACGAGATCAATTGTTACGGATGGGTTGTGGTGATATGGAAGCCGAGTCGTCCACGCTTCACTTAATTTTTTGTCTACTCCGAACTACTGATCGCAACGTCATACCCATAGCGTTACATTTGTCTAGCCAGTTAGGATTGATTGAAAGATTGCAGTTACCTGGCAACAACAAACTGTGTGTTGATAAGCTGCAAAACGGATTCACTACCACAATGGTTGCCTTAATTTAGCTAATAAAAAACAAAGGTGAATCATTCAGCCGGAACCCAAGTGAGAGGCGGCGCAAGCAAGAGAGCAGCCAGCATTGCAACTGAATAAGGTCTGCTTATTGTTCTGGGCTAGGTGGTACATCTTCAGGTGATTCGACCAACACCTCTATGTTTAGGCAATTTAATCTCAGTTGCCGGAAGTAACCTCAAAAACAGTGAAAATACGGTACATCAGTAGCTGACAATCTTTGGTAGAGGAGCCTCAAGAAAGTTTTCCTTCACATCTGTCGAATTTATATTTAAATATATCAACAAAAAACATTGCCATGCATTAACATGAAAAACTAATGCGGTATATATCAAATCTTGGTCAACCAAATAGCTGAAATATAGTGGGGCAAGGCTACAAGGTAGACGACAAGCGTTCCCCCCGTGGGCAAACCTGTTCCCTAACGAAAACAGCTGCTGAATTTTTCTCCATAATGATGCCCTCGCTTTAAAAATAAACGTACATATCCCACCGAGCGTGTAAAGTAGAATACGTTCGAAGTGAATTTAACCGATGCCAACATTCCCCAAACTAAAGGGTGTTTAAAAGTCTTAGTTTAACTTTTGAGCAGAGTGTCCCAGCAGACTATCCGAAGGTTGAATTTCACACCAATAATCAAGAACGTTTTTGCGTATAAACCTCTAAAGTTTGATATGAGGAAGTAGCTGAAAATCGGCAGCAAAATTAGATAGGCATTCACTCGTAAGCTGTGATGCTATATCTTTACCCAGACTAAGTTGCGATTGTCTACTTTTTCATATGCTGATCGTTTATTATTCACAAATAAACGGTACGAACATTTAAAATAGTTAGCAAAGACGACTTACTCAAGATCGAGTGTCAAACAGGTGACACCGTCTGGCTCCCCAGCCACAATGTTGGCAGTTCGTAACGTGTCTCTGTCGGAAAAAAAAACACAAAATTGAGGAAGGTTGATCTAGAAGTGAATTCGGCTCCAAGTAAAATCAAAATAACCCTATCGGCTGTTTTTTACCATTTGTGAAAATAATTTCACCATACCCAAACATGTGTTCCAATTCTACTACAACAACGCCGTTGATTTATCTACAAGCAGCGCTTTTAGAATAATGATTTCAGGAATAAAAAACCTACACTTTATGCATGGCAATTGATGCTGGGCAACACCATGGCACTACCACGAGATGACCTCCACTCTTTTGCAGGGTATACTTGTTTTCTTTAATGTTATGAATAGCCCTTCGAAATATGCATTTGAATACTTGATGACCTCGGCTAACGGAAATGGAAGACACACACCGTGTCGCTATCATTATCCTCCTGTTATTTTAACATACTCTCCCCGTTCATCAGTCTCCTAAAACTTTTCATTAGCAGAACAAATATTCATGCTCATTCACCATTATTTCTAAGTCTCAGCAGATTGTGTAGCATTGGAGCAAATTATACATACCTGCTATGTACATTCTAACACAGTAGTCCAAAATTTAGTTCCGGGTATAAGTCACGTGTGATTTTGGCCGGTTTGAATGAAGCTAATATCTGGTGACTGGTTTACGATGAGGGGATGATGAATTGATAATGAGAGTAACTTGAGATTTCTTGACATTGGTAAGCAACTTGTCCCAAAAACAGGTCGACTTTTGGAGGAAAACACAACAAACTGCCGTCCTTATGACTTCAAATCTCGAAAATGAATAATTTTTAATATGATAATAGCTATACGGCGCTTAAGGAAGATAAGGACTTAAACAAGAAAATCAAAATAAACCCAGAGAACATTATGGAACTGGACCTGGTAATCGTTATGAAATGTCGTTTATGTTTGATTCACAAATCGACAAAAGAGACCGATAAAGTCACAGGGAGCTATTTACTAAGGAAGTGGAACCTACGGCGCTGTTCATTCCGCTTAATTCAAAATGTTCTAAGGATTTTCGAAGGCAGAAGTAAATATTGGTTGAGGGGTTGAGAAACGTTTACTGCTCACAAAGTTGCATTCCGAGAATGTGACTGATATTGACTGTATCCTCAGTGTACACGGAGCAGTCCATTGTTCGCGCGATCTAACAGGTAGCTAGTATTTATCGATTTGGTCAGGAAAAAAATCCATAATGTAATGATGGATAATCATAAATTCACTCTTGTAGCACTACGCCTAGTGAATTGATATAAAGACCGCTGACTCCTTGTATTAAGGGACTTGGCTTTTCCCAGTTTTAACCCAGGTACAATAAAAATAACTTGTAAGCAAATTAGTATGCCATTCTGTTCATACATAAGGCGGAAATCTAGTTCAATTCGTTTGTTGCGGGGCCAGAAGTTTGGAGTCGTAAATTGTCGTTGTGTTTTCACTGAACCAGATGATTTGTCACTCAACTTACTTTAAAACACTAATAATAATAGCTTCAAACGCTTTTCACAAACTCTTTCGACTACTTTTATCAACTGAGGGCAGAAGTGCATCGTGGCAAAGACTGATCACTCTGTTGCAAGTTTCTGAAAAAAACGCGTGCCGTAAACACCTCTGGATTATCTCAAATCTTATTAACCTTAAACATGAAGGATCTGATGAACAGCGCCACAAAGTTAGCTTGTGGGCTTACCATTTATGGTTATCGCGAGATATTATAAGAAACAAGGGCTTAACGGGTACTTATGAACTGCTTGTAGTTGAGCGTTTGGCAGATACTTTTGCAGTTAGTTTGGCTTCTCTTCCAACCCTTATCTAGGTAGGCTTTTTCCAAGTATTTTTTAACTTTGTGAGAATTCTTATAACCTTAAAGTGACCCTGAGTTCGTAAGAAAGAAGAGTTCGAATTTACCAGGTAACTAAAAAGTGTGTATTGTCTTTAATCTAGCAGGCAATTCCCAAGGCATTCCATAATTGCGGTCGACCTCAAAGTGCGAAAAGATGTTACTCACCCTTTCAGTGCCATTTCTCCAAACCACTCTCCACGTCCTAGTGTGCGAATAAACTTTGGCTTTGTGGACGTGTTGATCTCACCAGATTTTTCAACTTCTTGCACGGTTACATGCACTTGCCCTTGACACACAATGTAGAAGTTGTCACCTCGGGCACCCTGACGGATGACGTATTCATTTGGTGCGTAGCGTACCTCAGTCAACTGATCGGCCATTTGGGACAAAGTGGTATCGGGCAGGTCATGGAACGTTGGCACACTTGAATGGAAAACGGTAGATGTGATTCACATTGTCATACTGTATTTGTCCCAGAGAGGGATGTCGTAAAACAAAAGATGTAGGGAGAACGCTCCAATTAGACAAACAGCCAGTATTTGTCCCAGAGAGGGATGTCGTAAAACAAAAGATGTAGGGAGAACGCTCCAATTAGACTTGCCAAACAGCCACTGTAGCCATCAATGTTCTCCAGCTTATTTTCAGGAAAAGCGTATTCATATTAAAAGATGTATGATGCACTTTTCTATGTGTTCAAATACACAGCCTATATCAAACTCAGATCATCTAGGCAGGTGTGTGACGAAGCACGCGTAATATCCATAGTTGAATTCCCTAGGTTGTTGCGCCAGTAGGACGCCTTTGTGACGATATGACGATAAGTGATTTAAATCCTCTCATAAGAATTTTTTCTAGTACAAAACAAACGCAACTGAATCCGAAGGTTTAGATCGGAGTCTTCAATCAACGGCACTGAGCTGAGGCATCCTAGAGAATGTTCAATTTTTCAGTATTGTACACTCATTGTGACAGTTAAACTGAACGCTGTTTTCTCTTCAGACATCAGTAAAATTCTGAAAAGAACATAACTTTGGGCACACCAACCATACGATGATCATTGTAGCTCTTGCGCCTGTGGCATACATTCTGTGCAGATATTCAGTTTTGGTGCCGCAATATCCGAGACGGTTAATTAGCTCAAAGCACTTTGGCACACAAATCAAACAGGATTATCGACTTTGTGTTAATTTCGTAAATTTCGGCTGTGATCCAACTCATTCTAGGTCCGTATTTAGTCACATCTTTACTGTGCAACGGAAAAGATTCAAAGTTTTTGCGTTCACAAATAGCCATCTGAACTTCTCCCCGGTCAATTTCTTAGTCACTGCTTACCTTTGCGCATTCACTGTGTATTTGATATTTATCCAAGCTGTTTAGTGATTTTGTCCATATAAAACTCCTGATTGCTTTGCCCCCGCTTACTGACAGTGCATCTACATACTGAATACATTCATGTCCGAACTATGTACAGCAGAAACATTCAGAAAATTTAGATACCGCAAACAAAAGATCATCTCATCACGCGTTTTGCAGTACCGGCAAGGATTCTCCAAGTTTGTAACAGTTTAAATAATTTGGTTCATGTTAGCCGTTCACGCACGCAAGGAAGCAGGAACGCAAGTATCTTCTGCCTGTGTAAACTGTCATCACTTTCGGATTCCGTCTCAAACTTAAATACACTTATTTGATATGCAATACACTTACGGTTGACCTACTGAGTGTCCCCAAACTGGTGGTGAATTGGACTGGGCGCACATGCTTACAACTGGGGTTTCTGTGTTTGAGCCTTCCCGGATGCTGTGCCCAGTTACTGCCGATGGACCCACTTATAAACCAAATTTGATTGACCCGCTCAACAGGCTGTGCGCGTTCATACCACCGCCTAGCAACATATCAAGACGATGCACTTGAAGGTCAGTTGCCCGATCAAACATGAAACGCATTTCAATTTAAGATTCAATCATTAATTTCGGGAAAGAAGAGTGGTATGCAGGTCACGTCAAAATCTAAGAGAGTCGCAGGACGAAACTCTGCAAATACGTCCAAGCCAGAAACCCAGCTGATAGTTATTTTAATACAACTTTTGTCTAACATGTAGGTTTACTTACCTTCTCAAAAAAGCCAATCTGCTTTGAAGCCTCTGGATGTTCTTTTTGCGGAGTATAGTCTGGAAAGATTTCCGGTCAATTGCCCATAACCGACAGGCGGTTGCCGCTAAGATGTCGAAAAGAGAAAGGGATTATGGAGTGTAATGGTCTCGCGTAAAATCCGGTTGGTTAAGTTTTGATGGACGTAAGTCGTTTTAGGCAGGACTGGAAAAACTCCTGTTGAATTTACCAACGGTCTGTTGACCTTTTATTCACTCAGTCATTAGAGATCAACTTAATTTTACCAAAGATCAGGTCTGCGGTGTGTCGCACAACTTCCACTTAAGAATAGAACAGTGCTTAATAAAATGCCATTCTAGGTCCCTATCGACCGAATGATCAGGAAGTAACAAATGGTGAGGTTTGGTCTTGCTTCCCTGGGTGGAATTTCATTTTCTTCATTTTTTCTGTATGCCACTGGAGGTGGACTAATTAGTTTACCTGATTACTTGACTTGATGCTGATATTCCTGTAAGTTCAAACCGAGTTTTATGTATCGTTTTTTTCTTCGGTCACTAACTACTTGGAGAGTTAGAGGCAATATTCTAGAATTGCCTACTAATGCCAATTATTCAACTTTAGTTTATCCGGTTTCACTTAGAGGTTTGTATCTCCCTATTAGTTGGTCCGATCCCACGAAAAATCGATAGCTGACAGGTAACAAGCTTACCACTAGGGAATGTCCGAAATAATGGTAAACCCTTCTGAAAAACGTGAAATCTACCGAACTTTTCGATTATAACTCTAGAAATGGGGTAAAACTGTGTTGTGTTGGATAAACCGCTGATAAAATTCAGTGCCTCTGACGTAACAGCTAATAAATCCTCCACTTGAGTCTGATGACTATTCTGGTAAAATCATTCTTTTAGCTGGTAATCAAGGAGTATTATCTGGATAACCTGGCAGTAGGATGACATCAAACTTCCATATGTACTTGAAATTTTCTAATTTTGCAAATCCATCGGTCTTCACATGGTCATTTGCGTAACACATCTATTACTCTGCCCATGCAAGTCTGAACGATTCGTTGTACCGTGAAGACACCCATGCTGGGTACACGTCACACTTGTTAATCAGGCGCAAAATTGTTCGCGCATATTTATTGTGAATTTGGAAAAATTATCTTCTTATTTCCACTTGTTTCCACGGTGGATTAATCCAACGGGTTACCGTGACAGAAGTGAACGCTACAATGTTCTATTTTTTTAGACTACCTTCTCTGTATGGGTGGTGAGCATGAGTAATTTTTACACCGTCACTGTAAAATTAGGCTAATCACATCCAAGTCACATAATGCAAAGTATGTAATGTACCCGAATGTACCAAGCTTGTAGAAGTTTATTTTCCTTCACGTCCATCTACTGCAGATCTCAGACCCGGCTGGTAAACATATTACAACGCCCTAATAACTTCAACAAAGCCCATAATTGTTGTTCACCCGGAAGCATTAAAGCAACTGATGAGCTAGGATTGTTCGAGAACTAATACCAAACTAGGAGCGATAACGTGACTTTCCAAAGAGGGTGAGCTTTGCTAAAGCCTGAACAAATCTGTAAAAATGTCCATCCGCACATGCGAGCCAATGTTCATTTACACTATTCAGAATACGCCAACGTCCATTTTGGTACCAGAAATCGATACTACATCGACGTGTTATTACTACTTCAGGAGGACTGACAGCATTAGGTGAAAGCACGAAGACCTACCTAAATTTAAAAGTCAAACAGGAATACAAGAAAAACGCAGATATCCGATGCATATGCTTTCTGTTTATTAATTTTTTTCAGTATTTGATATCTACCTCCCTCAGCATATTGTGAACCACTGATCTGGGACTTTGATTCTGCGTTTCCGTTTTGATGCGACGGATAAAACATTTGAAGGATATTTTATCGATCTTTCTCACTTCTTCTTGACCAGCTAAGTAAAGCAAATACCCAAATGTTTTGAGAAAAAGGCATGCAAACAGGCTGGCAAAGGAGATCAGTTGCTCTGAAGAGGTAGGTAAAAGCTACACATAGAAATGACCTCCTCCGCGAACGCGTAGCGACTAACGGTACCGTGTGATATCACCAGTAAATTTTCGACAGTCTTCGTGAATCGACCAACAGAGAGCAAAAAATACTGCCATACTGTAAGTACTATTTAAGTAGAGGTCGGAGAAGTGAATTTTCTCACTGAACGGGTGATTGCTTCCTTTATTTAGTGTCACTGTACTCAAATACTAGTAGATGTTCAGAGACTCCAAAGGAAATTTTCTTCAAACTATTTATCCCTACTACGTATCCGCACTTTTGGAATGGATTTGCGGAAATTCTTCAAATAAAAATAACCGACTTGTAACAAGATTTACTGTCAAATTGGTGTTTGAGTTTTTTATTAGTGGACCAGATCGCTTTTCCAAGCGCCCATAATAATGAGATAGTTTTGGCCTTTTCTCTGGATTACATGAGTACGTCAAACTTGAAGTTTTACTGCCAATTTACTCCAGGTATCGTGATGGATGTGGTTCACCTGACTTTCTGATTACACAACGCCCAGTTTACAGGTATCACGTTGTCTAGTATTCTCCAACTGGACGTTTTTTCTTTGTCTTTCTGTTAGTAACCAGTTCCATTTTTGGCTGTTTCACCTTTTCCATTTAACCCGTGGTGTAATGTTTCTCGCTACTTACAGACCCTAGTTATTGAACTCAAGGGAATGATTCAGGAGCTTTTATGGTTATGGAATACTAAGGTACTTCATTTACAGCAGTTTACGAAAGCTCACGGTCGAAGGCCCGTCAAGATCAGGTGCTTGGAAATCGCCATCTCAGGTAACTTCAGATAGTTCTCTGTCATTTAATTCATCTGTTCTTAATTCCAGGTGTTGGAACTTTATACCATCACCTCATAACTTAAGAGCGGGGCTTGAAAATTCATGTGCCTTCCCAGCTTAGATTTACTGTATAACTCTTGGTCCGTTAGATCAAAAGTATTGTCGCGGTGTATGTCCGAGGAGCAGTAGAATAGGTAAGGATATCACCAACTTGTGGCCAGAAAACATTCGCTGTGGTTGTATTTTTTCTGTCCTTTCAAGCGCCCAACAGCCAAAACTGCCTTTTCCATTTAGGACCATTTCAACACATACCAAAGGGCCAAAACAGAAACCCTTATTTGCTGGCAATACAAATGTCCCTGTTTCTGTGATCTGATACCTAACTTTTAGCAAGGTTTCAATGAGCTTCCCATGGCAACGGTCTCGCTCTAAAAACCTACATATGATATGTATGTCTCTAATTTTCATGCGTGTCTAACTTCAGTAAAAATTTACCTTCAAATTCGCCAGTCCTTTTTCGTACTGTCTCACCTTAAATCCTATGCCCCGAGTCCTCTTTTGGATTGAGGAAGTTCACGAAAATCAGGTTAAAATTCTTATTAGTTCCGGCCGCTAAATCCTGATAACAATAAAACCTACAACAGTTAGAGTGAGCGCCGCATTCTTGTGGATTACCAATTCACATGTTCAATGTTAGTGTGGATAGTGGTTATGGTCTTTCTTACAGTCAAGGATAGGAGACTTGTTTCATTAATTAAAAGAACATCAAACAATGTATTGAATATGATTTTTACATATCATAGACTGTCAAGACAAATAATTCTCTCTTGCTGTAGGAAACACAACTTAAACGCGTGGAAATTCTCTTGGTAGCGCAAGAAAATAACATTTTCTGGTGCATAATTATGAGGATAATGTATAATTAAACAAACCTTCTTTTGTGGATTAGTCATACTACTGGTTGATCACAAGAGAAGAATTGGTTCTGCAAGACTGATGAAAATTTTTTCAGGACTTTTACGTCTGCATACAAGTGAACATAAGTAACCAGAATATTTAAACCCCCTAAAGCGCATGCGAATTATGGGTTTTTGATATGTAAGTCTTTGCTCCTAAAAGACGTGTTAGACACTAAACCCACCTTGGGCTGAAGTCCGACGGACCTAGATGCTACACACCAAAACAGCAGTGGATTTCATTGGTTTCAAAACGTTATTGGGCCCACACATACTTAGTAGATTCATTCCACCAGCTGCCGATTCACAACAACGTTTTAGAATGGAGCAAACTAAAAAATTGGAGTTTGTTTCCCGTAATGCAAGGTATGAGATCCGCAAAAATAATCGCGCCAAAACTAGTAATTTTATTGCTTCTACCCTAAAATCCGAATTTAGCCAGGAAAAATTAAATTTTCGAACTAATTCTGAAAACTGTATACTTGCTATATAGTATCGAGGTGAACTAAAAAATTTCCACAGATTCTGTGCAAGTTATTTATTTTTGTTTTGTGAAAAATCCCACGCAAAAAATGTTGTTGGAAATCTTCTTTCAATCACAAGTGGTTTTTCTTGTTCAAACAAACGATCTGAGTTCGTGGAATTTCTGATGTTTTTGTCCTCATACGAGTGCCAAATACTTGCTATTCTTCTCACGTGAGCTCGCGATAGCTCGGTGGTCAAGATGCAAAAGTTATCTTGAGAATGTTCGCAGTTTCACCCAAACATTTGCATCATCACTACTCCCAAACCTTCACTCTTCAAGAAGTGCTTATCCCAGTGTGGTAATGAAAAACACGTCTGCTTAGAAATTATGAACTACCGAAAACCACGCAGTCAAGCAGTGTTATCCAAGGAGTGCCTATTACGGAAGCTCACCTTTTACAGTTGCTGTCCTTTCACAGTTGTAGAGGACGGCTAGTTCACCAAGTACAGTGCATCTGTTGACGTCTCGAACTTTCACTCCATCCTTCCAAATTTCCAGGACTCCGTCTGAAAAGAGTGAGGAAATGACACTTGTTTTAACTGTACAGGGTTTGCACTGTTCTGTTTTACAGAACAAACATTTGCAGCTGATTTCTTAGGATCATGTACATTCATTTATTGAGAACTGGGAAATCCAGGGTATACTGAGTAAAAGGTGACTGGGTGTAGACGACTAGCTTTCTTCTTTCTGGACGGATTCTTTATTGACTAATTCAGTGGTATCACATAAATTTATTCCTCAACGCATGAGGCACAAACTTATTTGCCAAGCTTCCGTCTGATATCTCCACAGTTGGTGACCAGTATTGGGCCACCTGTACAGTCACGGTGGATCAGATTGTGATATCGCCTAAATACCCAAGCAGTTTTGAGGTGAGCTGAAAAAGTATAAATTAATCTAGCCAGTATGTCAAGTCACCCCTGACTGTGTAGTGTATAAACATACAAAACACCTGCTGAACAGCCAAGGCACCGAAACTCGTTCAATCTTCAGGAGTGCAGTACTGAAGACATGAATATAGTGTCCGTTCCACATTCCTTTGTGCATTCAAAACTGTCGCTGCGAAAACGTTCTCTTCCTGATGCGAATAATTCTAGTATACTCATGACTGTCTCAGTTGCTTTGATTAGATGAACAAAGTCACACGGGGTCGCTAAGCTTGTTGGTAGTGTTGAGAGATTTGGGTATTTTGTAGAGATTTCGCCCTGTAAGTGAAGTTAATCTATGCTGAACAGCCTAAAAGCTTCCACCTGAGAAGTTGTTGCTCGAAGTGCCGGTCAACACGTGTGACTGTGTGATGTGGATTCCGTAATTGAATGATGAGCGTCGCTATATCCTATCTTAGTGCGATTTAATCACACTGCTGATCAGCCACTCGTGGCCGAATGGTTTACTGTTAAAACTGCTGGCCGGCAAGTCGCGGATTGAAGACTCTCCGGAGTTTTGTGAGATACGTACTGCAGATGAGGTCGCTAAGCTATTCAAGCGCACTTTCAACCTTCATAGCTGGCAATTAAATTTAAACCTATCATGTTCGGGCAAATGCAGCAACCTCTCTAAACAACCATCGTGTGTTTCTAACAAGGCACGTACCCCGATGAAGCTCACCAAGTAGGCTGGCGACATCTTGCTTCCAGAATATATTCCCCCCTCATTGGCATACAGGTCTAGAAGTTGATCCTGCGGTAGCATCCGGTGTAACCCAGGAGGCTCAACTAAAGCTACCATAGGAATTTTAAGTGGTTAATATTGCACAGGACATGGTCATCAGAATTCGCGATTTCAGATTGCAAGTGTAAAAGTAATACATTCAGCAAAGCGTTTGCCATTATACAGTATATTTGAACTTACTGCCCCAAGTCAGGTGACAAGAAAAAAATGATAGATCATTCCTCGACGCGACACCAGTGAATACAATCCGCCATCCTACCTTTACTCACCTGTATCCCCACACTACCTCATTTAATTTGATTAATCAGTCGAGTATTTAAAAGCTGAGTGGCTTCAAAGCTACCTGGGCACATTGGAGAACTTGAAGGGCCATATACGTGGAAGAATTCTTTGAACCCGAAGGATGGTGTTCTTGATCGTTCAGTGAAATCAGCTATGCTTGAATGAAGGCGCAGATTTGAAGCGCCGATAAAGATAGATTGTTTATTCCAGCAATCCGATTCATTATTCACACTGACTAAGCGCTATTTGTTACAACAGGTGCCAGAAGTAACAAGATTGCTGGGATTTGAAGGAACGATACTGTGAATCATGCAGTAGGATACCGGTTTCCTCATGCAGAATAAAATGCTCATTTTTATTGTGCTCATCGGGAGGTGAGAGGTGAGGTTAACGGGCATACACTACTGTTTCACGTGAAGTTGTGCTGAAATTACTATCCATGGTCCATCAGCTAGGTTCCAAAGGGGTCAAACAGTGTCATGTGGTTGAGCATCTCGTTATCCAGCGATTATTACTATATCTTACGTTACCACTCCATTACATTTGTTTGGAACACCAGTTTTAATGAATAAATAACCTCGGGAGTTGAGTTTACCGTCAGGTGTGCCTTATGGTCCGCTTCCAGGTAACGTGTTCTGGTTCATTCTTGGTGCCCATTTCCTTCACATATTGTTAATTGTCCGCGTCTGGAATTCACCTGGTCTGAGATTTGATCTACGTCTGTTCAAAACTGGAATTCCGAACTTGGATAGGTAATCACGCCAAGTTGTGAAAGTTAGCAATATTCGACCCCGATTCACGAAATATAATGCACCCACTCTGTGCACACCGGAGATAGGCTTACGAAGACATGGTCGATTTAAAATCACCAATGTGCATTCACTCATCCAGCTGTAAATAGCATTTATCTGTGGATTGGTCTACGGTGTAATGGACAGTTAATTAAATGGGAACGTTTTGTACGAATCTGGCTTTCTAATTGTATGCTTATTAGAACGAGCAAAGTTGTCTCAAGTTACCAATGCTAATTAGGTAGGCAATAGAATTATGTGCAGAATACAAACAATTACAGACGCTGATGAATAAATTGGGTCAGGCTAAGAGTATTGTAAAACAATTCAAACCCAAGGAACCGTAAGAAATACATGACAAACGCATAGGCTAATGTAACTGCATTGGTGAGTTTGAAAACTGTTGACATCTTCAGTGAAATGACTATTGAAAATTGTTTATACCATGCTGGCAAATATCCGGAATTCTGGATAAAGTATAGTTGTAAACGGACTCGAAATACGAAAAGAATGTAGTAGCTTTACGATGGACTTCTGGTTTTTTTCAACAAATTACAGAAACTCCAGGGTTAAACAACACTTATGTTGCAGCGATGGTTCATGAAAAACACTTTTTTCTTGCACTATGCATCGTGAATCTTCTCACATACAACCGTCGAAGATAGAAACTAGTTTATTGACTTGATTGGAGCACTAACACATACTGTATCTAACCTAATAAACACCAAACAGAGCAAAAGTCCTGATATAGGCGGTGATAATGCAACAACGCTTCAGTACTTTACTCAACAGCAAACTTATTGATTTGCCAATCCAATCGATATGTGACCTGGACTGATAAAAACCTACCAGATCTCATCTGTCATTATGTATGCGTATGCGACCGACCTCCAAAAATAACAGCTTTGTATTGGCCTTAAGATGAGGCACCGCTGTACCGTACGGCAATCGATAATGCGCGCGCACTGTTCCGTTCCAGAAAAGCGGACATTTGTGCATGGTACTGTCACACTTAGAAAGTGGATATGATTAAAATGCTTGAATGGCTCTTTCGTCCAGAAATATGTTTTCATAACTTACTCTCAAAGGACCAATTATCTCTTAGTTCGCACTACAATTTAAGAAGAAAAGGCCCTACAAGCCGTTAGTAGCATGATCAGTGCATCTCGTCTGGCCTCAATGAATCGACACTCACTATCATGCTGTGTAAAACTGAAGTTATTTAACAAAACCCAGCGATGAAATGTTGGATCAACTCTCAGAATTCTAAGGCCATGCAGGCGGATCTGAATAAATAGTTGAGGATATTGCAAGAATCCCACTCCGTGAGAATATTGCATCAAATTCGAAGCTGTAACTCGTTAACTTCTCTACAAGGTGATCCTTTTCGAAGAGTCCTCAGCTGTGTACAAGGACTCCTGGACTATCGTGTTTCAGCCAAATAATTTAGATTAGTTATTGACTGAAGCGGGGTGATACCATTCTTATAATTATTCTAAAAAAATATCGATAGTATTTTACAGAGTCCCGTAATTACGCACTATGTTTATCTATCTTAAAATCAGGCGTCATTTTAAGATGTGCCAGCAGACAACTGTCATCCGTCTACAAGAGCATAATTGAATTCAGGGATTGATTAAAATTTTACCATACTACTGAAGTGTGCCCTGTAGCTCAGATTTCAACGCAGAGAGAATCGTATTTCCACCCATTTGTGACTCCGAAAATGTGTACTGAGGATGGCATCAAAGGCAAGAATAGGGCACATATATGGGGGAACGTTTGTGGAAATGAAAATGAAAAGACCCCGCGAGGGAATTCTAGTAAGCGTTTTATTAGTCTTGCGAATCCAAACTGAAGTGAATGAGGCTTGCAGAACTTTGTTTGAATTTGAAATAACTTTATTACCAAGAAAATATGTTTCGATTAAAAGTGGCTTTCACATACGAGAAGGTCTTCAAGTTTTCTCTGAGTGGCTCCAGGAGAAGGAGGATTATCTTTATGGTATGAAGATTCTATGAAGAATGAAAGAGCTTTTGACCACTCAGTTTGTGGTTCTTAAATCACTTTGTCAAATTTAGTTAATAAATATCTCGAGCATCGAACGCGCATCTTACTTGTGTGTGGCTATTTTACCAATATCTATATTGAAAAGTGAAGAACACCGTGGGTTTCTTCACGTGGACTCGATCATATACCAATCTTAATCCAGCCGGTATTCCGTGGAGTTTGTTGATATCTGTAATGAACTGGCTTAATCATACCATTACATCGAACTTAATTCATTTAAATTGTTGTGTAGTTCTACTTCCCCTTACTGCTTTAGCTGGCTGTTCATTTGCAGTATTCACCAACTTTTTAGTAAACTGCCGCCCAATCGCATAGTCAGTGGCACTCGTGCATCAAAGCTATCGCCTTCAATGCGTAGCTACCCTATTCCCGAATAAAACTGAGCATGCCTTCGCTTCCGAGGCTTGGTTTTGTGTTGCACTTTACCGTTTCCGGCGATCGAAACTGTAGCAGCTGGAACCAATATGCCTATGGCGCACGGTTTATAGTTGATAAGTTGATTCACTGATTGATTAACCTGGTGGCATAGTACACATTTTACTACATGCCGAAAGGATCTCAGCGTGCTTGTTAAAATTTAATAAATAAGAAAGAATCACAAAACGTCCATTACCCATACATCGTTAACAACGTAAACCTGTTTTATGGTAGTCATAGAGTGGTGTACTTAGTCCTATGATTCCTTGGATAGACCGTCTCGCCTATGAATTAGCACAGCTCTTCACCTAGCCAGGCTCGCTAGATGATGTAACATATATCCAAGTCATATAATTGTGCACGTCAGTAGAATGGATCAGAGGGGGGAACACTGTGACCCAGTCTAATGACGTCGTTGAGGTAGATGATATCAGATCACACTCGCTATAACAGTATGAATATTGCAAAGGCTACTATAGCTGTGTGTATATTTAACGAGCCCAGTTTAAATCAGACAGCGCTGACGAAATCAATTGCACCGGCTGGGTCATTGAGAACCTCAAGTTAGGTCTTCCTATTTTCACTGAAAATCCTGGAAGATCGCTTGTCATATACCCTTGAATAGGAATATAATTGAACAGCTATGCACCTTGGTGGATGTCGCGCGTAACATTAGACACCATGTCCTCCTTTCAATGATGCGACATGCTAATCAAGTGTAATCGCTGTCTTTCATGGAGATGCTACTGTGATACTTAATAGTTTTTGGGTTGCCTTTGTAATCTGATTACTATGGTCGAATGTTAGTTGCCAAATGAACTTCCGCTGGGAAGAGCAGGCCAATCATATTTCAAAATATGACCACCAAACTGCGGAAAAATGAGCTTTGTATTACATTTACACAAAGTGGACTCTTCCTTGTTGCTTGGCCAAATCCAGAAATACTGAAAAAATTAATTACCTCTGACGGCAGTTTACTAAAAAAGTTGATGAATACTGCAAATGAACAGCCAGCTAAAGCAATAAGGGAAGTAGAAACTACACAACAATTTAAATGAATTAAGTTCGATGTAATGGTATGATTAAGCCAGTTCATTACAGATATCAACAAACTCCACGGAATACCGGCTGGATTAAGATTGGTATATGATCGAGTCCACGTGAAGAAACCCACGGTGTTCTTCACTTTTCAATATAGATATTGGTAAAATAGCCACACACAAGTAAGATGCGCGTTCGATGCTCGAGATATTTATTAACTAAATTTGACAAAGTGATTTAAGAACCACAAACTGAGTGGTCAAAAGCTCTTTCATTCTTCATAGAATCTTCATACCATAAAGATAATCCTCCTTTCGGCATGTAGTAAAATGTGTACTATGCCACCAGGTTAATCAATCAGTGAATCAACTTATCAACTGCAAACCGTGCACCAAAGGCATATTGGTTCCAGCTGTTACAGTTGCAAACACCGGAAAACGGTAAAGTGCAACACAAAACCAAGCCTCGGAAGAGAAGGCATGCTCAGTTTTATTCGGGAATAGAGTAGCTACGCATTGAAGGCGATAGCTTTGATGCACGAGTGCCACTGACTGTGCGATTGGGCCATTTCTGCTAATGTCAATGACCACTGGTGATTTGAGTCCCGGGGTTCCCATCCAGGGAGGCGGGACATGCCCACCCGACTTAGTTTACTGGTCGGTGTTTTCGTACTTCGTTGCCAGGTCATACATTGTCCAACTCTTGGTCGCTTCCACTCAGCACAGGGCTGGGCAAAATGGCTCTGCGAGGCAGACGATCTTCTGGCTTGCGGAGTACATGACTTAACAAGCACAACCTAGGAAGCGAAAGTAATTCATCTATCGTGGGAGAGTTCCTCCTTCCTAAGACCATTTGACTTACCTCAGCATTACTAATGCGATGTTCTTATCAGACCCAACCAATACTTTGGAGCCACGGATGTTCAAACACTGACATCTTCCGTATGTCTCCTACGAGTATGTGCCATGTCCCTGATCCATACAGCAATACTGATCGCATCACGGTAGTGTAAACTCTTCCCTTGACAGACAAACTCACGTCACGTCATCGCCATGGGTGTCAGTGGTTGGCAAAAGCTGTCCTGACCTTTACACTTAAAGAAATAATCTTATCTCCAGCCAGTCTACCGGGACTTACACAGCTGCCCAGGTTAACAGGTATGGTGGAAAGCACAAAGGTGACTGCCAATATGTCCTTGATTGACCAACAAATTAGGAAAAATGGCCGACGATTTGGCCGATCTACAAAGCCAGTTCACTTCTACTTCGCACTCTAGATGCTAGACTTCTGTCAATATGTCATGCTTTCTATCGCCCACAATGTCCTGAACTGACCTGATGCGTGTTCGAATGGCCGAATCACTGCAAACCATTTGTCTCACTGCACAACCATGATGCCATAGGTAGTGGTTTATCGACCCAAACAACCACATTAATTTCCTGGCCATAAAGTCGTCAAGCACAAAATTTCAGCCTGCGTTACGAAGAGAATGGGTGACACAGCCGCTTCGAAGTTCTGTCGAATCAGAAAAATGTGGAATAACTGTATGAATAGGAAAGTCCAACCCCGTCTTACCATGAATTCTGATTATCATTTTTAAAGGCTTCTATCTAAGTACCTGACGGGCCTTTTAGCGATTTTATCATTGTTGTCTTGCGTCAGTTGTCTCATACTAAGGTGTCATGAACACACAAGTTGTGCATACTTTTTCCTGTTTCGGTGCATAAAGATTCTCTGAGTGGGTTGTTCGTCAACACAAGGGTACATGTCGAAGATGAGGATGCTGGGGTTTCATCTCCTCGAACTTTGTTGTCATCAGATGCTATCATGCGCACCACGATTCCTGTAATGAAAGGTACCGGATTCTCGGCTCGTATTTTACCAATAACATTAACGTGACTGGCTTTTGGCATTCTTTGTATCAGTCAGTCAGACTTTTTGCTCGTAAGTCTCCTCAGGATTGCCAGTTTCTTGCTTCAAGATGGTTTTACAACCTAATAGTAGACTAAAATTTAGGCATTTCTACTCTTCTTCGATAGTTCGAGGTCAAGTTCACAAGGATGAAACCAAGGAAATAGAAGTACCTTACCAAAAAGTACGTACACCAAATCTCCAAAGTCGCCCTCGTTGATCAAGGTTTCTCCGGCTCGATGAGCAATCAAGTACATGCAGTCAATCAAATTGTTCAATTGATCTTGTGCCAAGTGATTAAGGAAGTCGTTTTCCATGATTGCTTGCTTTATAATTTTTCGGACACTGAAAAAAAACACGGGGATGCAGAACAAAAAGCATAGTCACAGGAAGTGCAGTTTTCGGTTAACTGAGATTAACGTCTTTCACAAACCTTAATATTCTAACCATGAAGCTCATATCCGTAAACTGGTTCCACGATGGGTTTGGTGTAGTCAGAGATAAAACGAATAAGTTCCAAAATTATTTTAGGTTGCTATAGCTAATATCTTTTATAAAGTGTTTCTTTTTCTTGCATTCGAATTTCAGTCAAATATCTAGGACCATTCCTGCAAAAAGAAATATATCTTGAAAGGTTCAAGCTTTACACTTCGTTGAGTGTGCAAATTCAGGGCGGAAAATTATGGTCCCTCCACGTTTTAGGAAGTTTATGTTAAACTAATCCGTTTGGTCTTCGGGAACCTTTGAATTTAAGATAGCCTTTTTCGTTTCAGAGGGGTTTGGTAAACAGTCGGTGGATTTATTGCTGGGCATCGTTTCGCTTTTGACACAAAAGCTTCGTCAGGCCAAGTGAGTAAGTAAGTAGGTTGATTGGGTTTTAAGGCAGTCAGGGAACCAATCCGTGAGATTCCTTATGGCTAGTGACGTGATCA